AGATACCTGAGAGATACTCATCACACACGAGTGATCTCACTAAACGGAGGCCGAGCCATTACTTTGGGCAGCAGTTTTAAGAGTTCCCCATTTAATTTTTATAACTGATACATGTAATTAGAGTTTGCCTCAATACCAAGTTTGTCTTGAATGTTGACAAGGAGGTTTAGAGTATGAAAGGGCAAAACTAAATGCGTATCTCCCTAAGTGTATGTTCAACCTGTTACACCGCTGGGGATGTGAAAGTGAGTACCACTGTACCCGCCTGCAAAGGGATTCTATTCGGATGGGACTCAGGCAGAGAAGGAGGGGGTGGGCTGGGGCAAGTCTAAGATAAGGTGAGAGTTCTCCCTGGTAACAAGTGAATTATCTGAAATGTCCCACATCAGGGATCTGGACCTCTGAGCCCTCACACCCCAATGCTGTCACACCACAGGAACCCTAAACCAGTTCTTCCCAAACTTTGACATGTTTGCAGATAAGTGTATGCATTTTGTTAAAATGCAGATTTGGATTCTATAAGTCTGGAGCAGGGCCCACGATTCTGCATTTCTAACATTTCCCAGCAGCACCTGGGAGTTTATTAGAAAAGCACAATTTCATTACCCCTGCAAACTTGCTAAATCGAAATCTTAACGTTAACAAATCCCCAGAGATTCACATGCACAACATTAAAGTTTGGGAAGCACTGCATTGTGGCGGTTTGCTCAACCATGACTGCACATTATAATCACCTGGGATGTTTAAAAAGTATAGAGGAGTAGAGGGGCTGACTGCACCACCACAGATACATGAAATCAGAACCTCAAGGGTGGGCTCAGGCACTATTAATTTTCAAACATTTGTTTCAAAATTTACATACAGTAAAATTTTTTCATTTTTTAGGCATAGTTCTCTGAGTTCGGATATGCATAGCATAGAGTCAGGTAAGCACAGACTATGGAACGAAGGTGCATGATTCCAGCACACACTTCCCTCACTTCCCTGTTTACAGCTCACTGTTGGTTCTGTTTTTCAAAGCCCCAGGAGATTCTGTAGGACGACTTGTTGATAGCTACTCCTCTGGAGCGGAGATTTTCAGCCCGAGATGTGCCTCTGGAACAAGGGACACAGCTTCTTTGCTGCGCCCTCAGAGATGCCGGGGTCGAGCAGGGCTACCCAAACCTGAGCCACATGGACATCACCTGGAGACCTAACTGATTGCCTGTGTCCACCTTGATGAATTAAATCTCTTGGTAAGGGACCTGGGAGTCAAGATCTTTTAAAAGCTCCTCACGTGATTCTCCTGTGGTCTAAGTTGGGTTTTTTAAAAGATTTTATTTATTTATTTGACACAGAGAGAGAGACACAGCGAGAGAGGGAATGCAAGCAGGGGGAGCGGGAGAGGGAGAAGCACGCTTCCCGCAGAGCAGGGAGCCTGATGCGGGGCTCGATCCCAGGACCCTGGGATCATGACCTGAGCCAAAGGCAGACGCTTAACGACTGAGCCACCCAGGCACCCCCCCTGTGGCCTAAGTTTGAGAAACACTGCGTTGGTGCTTTTGTAACAGGTTCCAGGCATTTGGAGGTACATCCTCTAGATCACTCCAGTGAACATCCCGGATTAAGAACCATCACTCTTAGAATAAAACCTGGACTGTGTCTCTAGCTCCAGGGTCTACTGTCCTCTCTGTTCTCTCCCTACTCTCCATTGACACTGGTCTTGCTGTTCCCCAAACACTCCAGGTTTGTTGCAGCCCCAGGGCCTCTGGACTTGTTTTCCATGTGGTTGACTTCTCATGGTCCAGCTCCAAAGCTAACATCTCAGAGATGGTTCTTTCAGACCGCTCCATCTAACAGGAACCCTCTGTTAGCCTCCATTATTCTGTTTATTTCTTTTACAGTACTCATTACAATTTGAAATGATCTGGTTTATGTATTATTTACTTATTCCTCCCTTGATTAGCATGGAAGCTCCATGAGGGACTTTGTCTATCTTGAATATCAGGGCCCAGAATAGGCTTAGTAGTCATTCAAATACATTTATTGCAATAACTAATGAATCACTTGTTCCTTGCAGAATACTGAGCCATCAGATCAATACTATCCTTCCTTTCAAGACCTACCACTAACCCTGTTTGTTACTGATCTCTGCCTCACTTCCTGGCCTCCCCAGGATGATTTTTGTACTCTTCAAGGATCCCCGAGGAATACAAATCTTAAAAAAATCCTGTGTTGTAGCCAGTTTGGACATCAACATCTTGGCCTCTGTTTCTGCACTTGCTATTTTTGTTACCTGTAGGACTTTCTCTCTCTCCTTCAATCTTTATCTTTCTTTCCTTTAAATCACTGCCTAAGAAGGGAAAAATGAAGGGTGGGGGGAACCGGAGGGGGAGACGGACCATGAAAGACTATGGACTTCGAGAAACAGACTGAGGGTTTTAGAGGGGAGAGGGGTGGGGGGATGGGTTAGCCTGGTGGTGGGTATTGAGGAGGGCACATTCTGCATGGAGCACTGGGTGTTATGCACAAACAATGAATCATGGAACACTTCATCTCAAACTAATGATGTAATGTATGGGGACTAACATAACATAATAAAAATAAATACAGTAAGTTATGGGAATGTATTGTACAGCATGATGATTACGGTTAATAATACTGTATAATATACTTGGAAAGTTGCTGAGAGAGTAGATTTTAAAGGTTTCTGTCAGAAGAAAAAATTGTAACTATGTATGGTGATGGATGTTAACTAAACTTATTGTGGTGATCATTTCATGACGTACACAAATATCAAATTATTACGTTGCACACCTGAAACCAATGTTATATGTCAATTGTATCTCAAAAAAGATTACAAAAAAATAAAGGCTTATCTTTTTAAAAAAATAAAAATAAATAAATAAATCACTGCCTAAGGCTCCTTCTGGTTCCACCTTCTGGATCCCACGAAGGCACCAAGCACCATATGTCCCACTTGTCTGCATTTTGGGGCAGGCTACTTTTTAAAGCTGTAAGTCTGGATGACTATTATTAGGGTCATTAAATAGGAGTCTGAACTGGATCAGTGGCCCTCCACCTTGATTACCCAGGCCAATAAGATCAGATTATCTGAGTGGGATCCTGGAATCTCATTCTTCAAAGGCTCTCTAGGCAATGTGTAGCGGGAGCTGAAAGCCCACGATTAGATAATCCACCACGTCTCTTCCATCTCTGATGTCTGAGGGTGAGTAGGGTACTCACAATGGGAATGGATGTTTTAGCTTTTTGGAATCTTTGCTCCTCCTTTTTTCTACCGTTGCCTTTCCCAGATTTAAACTCTCCCAAGAGCCTTTTTTAACTATGCCGTAATTGATCAAACCAGACAAGGAACAGATACCAGGGTTCTGAGGAGAGTGAGGAATGGTGGCAGGAGACATTGCAAAGAAAGAGGTTCTGAGAGTTTTGCTCTTAACTTATTCAGTGCTGATCACAGGGAGGTGGCAAAGAACATTAGTTCTGGATCTGCCACTGATAGCTATAGGACTATGGGAAAGATCGAACTTCTGAGCCTCTGTTTTCTTTTTTTTTTAAGAAATTTTTTTGAATGTAGTTGACACATGATGTTACACTAGTTTCAGGTGTACAACATAGTTTATACCTTATACTATGCTCACCCCGATGTAGCTGCCATCTGTCACAGTACAACGCTATTACATATCACTGACACACGAGCCGGTGTGAACCTAGTTTTCTTATGTTAAAATAGATACAATAATTCCCGCTCCATTGCACTTGGGCAGGAATTTCACCTTCCCAGAGAGGCCTTGCCTGACCTCTTCTCCTTACTTCATTATTCTGTTATAGCATCTGGCTGTCTTGATTTCTTTCTTTTTTTTTTTAAAGATTTTATTTATTTATCTGACAGAGAGAGACACAGCGAGAGAGGGAACACAAGCAGGGGGAGTGGGAGAGGGAGAAGCAGGCTCCCGGCCGAGCAGAGAGCCCGATGTGGGGCTTGATCCCAAGACCCTGGGATCATGATCCAAGCCGAAGGCAGACGCTTAATGACTGAGCCACCCAGGGGCCCCGATTTATTTATTATTTTTGAGAGAGAGACAGACAGAGAGAGCATGAACGGGGGAGGGGCAGAGGGTGAGGGAGAAGCAGACTCCCTGCTGAGCAGGGAGTCTGATGCGGGGCTCAATCCCAGGACCCCGGGATCATGACCTGAGCCGAAGGCAGATGCCCAGCGACTGAGCCACCCAGGCGCCCCCACTCTTTCTTTTTTTAGATTTTATTTATTTATTTGAGTGAGAGAGAGAGAGAGAGATCACCAACAGTGGGGAGGGTTAGAGGGAGAAGCAGACTTCCCGTGGAGCAGGGAGTCCGATGCGGGGCTCGATCCCAGGACCCCGGGATCATGACCGGAGCCGAAGGCAGTTGCTTAACGACTGAGCCACCCAGGTGTGCCTGGCTATCTTGATTTCTAAAACGCAGTTTAGAATTTAGTACAGCTGCCCTGTAAATACCGCAAAAGTATAGACAGTGTTCACTGTATCCCCAAAGCCAGCATGGGACCTACTCAACAAATACTTATTGAATGAAGGTTTGAATACCCTACCTACACTGCAGTGTTTTTGAGGAACACAAATGAGCTAATGTGTGTAAAATGGTTTATAAACTGTAAAGTTCTATTTGAAGGTGGGGCATCATCATTTTGAATATATTTTTTATTATGTTCAGTTAGCCATTGTATAGTACGTCATTAGTTTTTGATGATGTAGTGTTCGGTGATTCATTAGTTACGTATAATGCCCAGTGCTCATCACAACACATGCCCTCCTCAGTACCCATCATCCGGTTACCCCTCCCCTCTGAGACCCTCAGTTCATTTTCCGGGGTCCAGAGTCTCTCATGGTTCATCTCCCTTCCTGATTTCTCCCCCTTCAGATTTCCCTCCCTTCTCCTATGGTCCTCCGTGCTATTGCTTATGTTCCACATTTTTTTGAATATTTTAAAGAAACAGCAAATGTTACCTGCAGATTAGGGTGGATAATAGCAGCAATATCTCCATTTTCATTCCTGGGATAATCAACTTTCTCCATTATTTTATAGACTTCAATAGCACAGGGAGGAAATTCTTTTCCTATGGTGAAAACAATATGCATATTTAGTGACTAAAAATAACTCTTGAAAAAAAGGAAGTTGACACTTTAAGGGAAGAACAGCCAACCAAAAAATGAAGACAGTTACAAGAACATACCATCTTAGTTAAGGATATTCATAAACAACATTTGACCAAAAGAAGTTCTCAAACTACTCCTGTTGGTACATTGTCCACAAATGCACTGATGGATAGAAGCAGAAAACAGAACTTGAGAAGCCAGTGTAGGAGACAAAGAGGCTAGGATAGGATACCCAGGATACCCAGGCTTTCATCTAGCCTGTAATCTTGAGCAAGATGCTTAACTTCTTGAGGCTCAATTTCTTCACCTGTCAAATGAAGATTTTGAATTACCTTACCTTGGAGGGCCCTTCCAGCTCTGACATTCTATGATTGCACAACCTCAGGAGGACTTCCAGCAGGTTAGGTGACTTCAGCATTGTACCCCTTCTCTTAACGAAGTATTGTGAGACCTAGGGACGCAGGCAGCCTGCCAACAGTGGGGTCCTACTTCCAAAGATGCGGCATCATTAAACAGCCCAATGCCCAGAAACTTGAAAAAGTATTTTACATGTAACCAGGCAGCTCTGAGTAAACAGGATGAACTTTCATCCAACATAGGGCCCACGGTTTACTATGGTTGCGACTCAAAGGAAAATCTTCTTTCGTCTTTAGAGCAGGAAGTGCAGCTAGTGTTGGAATGTGGATATCCTGTGATCACTTCTGTATCAGTTAGCTTTTGCTGCTGAACACACTACCCCAGAACCCAGTGGTGTCATACAAGGACTTCAATTTAGCTCATGATTCTGTGGGTTGTTTGGGCAGTTCATCTGGTTTAGGCTGGCTTGCTGATTTCTGACTGGCTTGCTCATGCATTTGTGGTGAGATGGCAGGTCAGCTGGGGGCTGGGTGATCTAAGATGGTCTTACTCTCATGTCCGGCATTTGACAGGCTGTCGGCTGGAGCTAGGGTGTCTGAGTTCTCTGCCTCATAACCTCCCATTATTCGGCAGGCTAGGCTAGGCTGATCCATGTACTGGCAGTACAGGGGTCCTAACGGGAGCAAGAGAGCAAGCCCCAGACTGCAAGTCCTTTTCAAATTTCTTCTGTGGCACAAAACACATAATGTGGCCAAGCCAGATTCAGGAGGTAGGGAAATAGACCATTTCTTGATAGAAGGATCTCAAACATCACATTGTAAAAACATGGATGCAGGGAAGGGAAGAATCTGTGGCCATTTTACATTTTTACAAATGTACCCCATCTTCTAGGTGAAGATGGAAACATCAGGTGTCACCTCTTTAAAGCAGAAGGTCCACTGAGAGGAAAGGAAAAAGTGGTAGAATATAAAGGAGTATGTTTTGCTACTTCGAATGTCAGAGTTTGAAGGAGCCTCAAGCACCCAGCTTCCTCAGTGCTTGAGTATTCTCTTTCCAGCCAAGTGGTCATATTACTCTGGCTCCAACAGCCTCACAAAGAGTGGTCCATTCCATCGGTGGTCAGCATTGCTAATTAGAAATTTATGTCTGCAGGTAACTTTATCCCACTGATGCTATTCTGCCCTCAGAGTCACAGAAAACATGTCTAATTGCTTTACAATATAACACCTCTAAAACTCTAATATAAAGTCTTCTTTTGCCAGTCTAAATATTCTTATTCACTACTCATACATGGTCACAATCATGAGGTTACATGTGAAGGTACTTTGCAAACTGAAGTTCTATGTGTGTCTTAGGGATTATTCTTATTTTGGTTTTCTTTTTCTTTTTTTTTTTAATTCAAGAGAGACAGAGCGAGAGAGAAAGGCAGAGGGAGAAGCAGGCTCCCAAGGAGCAGGGAGCCCGATGCGGGACTCGATCCCAGGACCCTGAGATCCTGACCTGAGCCGAAGGCAGACGCTTAACCATCTGAGCCACCCAGGCGCCCCTTATTTTGGTTTTCAAACATTTTAGCATTCTCACTTTTCTCCTTGGCTAATCTCTACCTCATAGATGCTCCTCCTGAAATACAGACTCAGAATTTATTCACAGTTCCCCAAGTGGTGTTTATTTAATACTGAAGAGAGACCATCACCTCCCTTATCCTGTTTTTTTTTTTTTTAAACATAAAACAAACTTTGTACCTGAAATGTATTTAACTTAAAACATTTGCTTCAGACAATTGTTAAAGATAGTCAGGACTTTTTGGATCCACCCTCTGATCCCGAATATTTTCCTGCAAGCTTCCTGCCACCTTTCATTTATATATAAGCATGTCACATATATCTTTATCCAAATTACTAATAATTTTGAGTAACACAGAGTCAAGGATAGAGCTCTTCTGCACATTTCTAGAGATTTTTCTCTAGGTGGTTATCTCTTTGTCAGCATTCTTTGGATAATGGTGTTCTTTCCATGTTAGTTAGAAATCCACCAAACTAGAAAGTCAAAATTAATAGCGGTTTAACATTTTTGAACTGCAGAATCCTTTGCTTAAGTGAAATGTTACATGGAAGAGCAATAAAGCAGAACTGCTCTGGAGCTACTGTCCTGGAACTGTCCTGGAGCTACTGGGCAGCTAGGAGATCTCTACCCCTGGGGTAGGATTCTATGGACTCTAATTTGGAAATCATGTTTCTCCACTCAGGTTTGTGGCCTTCTACTTGGGTACATCATTTCTTAATGTATTGTAGTCCCACACTTATTATTTGAAGGGTTTCTTGTGAATTAGTGGTGACCTTCCCAACCCCAGGTCCATTCAATGCTATAGACCCTGTCCTCAGACAAAGGTGATAAAAAGCTGATTTTCAGTCTTTATGACTTTGGAGTCAGAGGATTCCCAAGCACAAAAGAAATACCTGTGATTTCAGTAGGGTGCACAATCTGACATTAAGGAATTATTAAATGCCCCATGACACTGAACTATTATTCTCCAGCCTTGTCACTATAATGACCCACTCCACAACAATTTCAATTCAGCCTTCTGGAATAGTTATTTAAATAGGATTTTTTTCTCTCTCTTTCTTCTAGGAATTTTTTAAAGTTTTAAAAATTTTATTAAGTTTTTAAAATTTTAATTCCAGGATAGTTAATATACAGTGTTATATTAGTTTCACGTCTCTTTGATTTTAATTATACCTTATTTTTAAATTTTAAAGGAAATCAGAGAGGGAGACAAACCATGGGAGACCCCTGACTCCCCCCGGGAAGCAAACCTAGGGTTGCAGAAGGGAGGGAGGAGGGGGGATAGGGTAACTGGGTGTTGGGCATTAAGGAGGGCACGTGATGTGATGAGCTCTGGGTGTTATATGCAACTAATGAATCACTGAACATTACATAAAAAAACTAATGATGTACTATATGTTGGCTAATAGAACTTAAATTAAAAAATAAATAAAATATTCTTTTGAAAGAAAAAATACATTTATTTTTTAGTAATTTTAATATTTAATAGACTTTTTTTGCTGCAGTTTTAGGTTACCAAATAAATGAGCAGATAGTAGAGTGAATGGCTGAAGTGAATAACATTTTTAAAAAGCAACTACTATCATGAACATGGCAAATTTGACAATTGCTATTTCAGTGCTTAGTGGTTAAGTCACTATGTGTGCTCATTTCAGCTCCCTTTTCTGATTTATCTACAAACACACACACACACACACATACACACACACACACTAACAAGGAAACAATTCCTACCTCCTACTTACCTTCATTGAAATTCTGTATAAAATCAAGAGCGTGTTTAATCATTTTTCTCATTTGATCCAAAATATCAGCTCTCAGAACCCCTTGAGGCTGGGGACCAACTTCTATACCTCGGTACAAAAGGGGAAATCGTCACATTTATAAAACAAGTATTATAATATATTATAAAATTGAACATTTTAATGTATAAAGATCTATAATACCACCATTAAAATAATTTAAAGGGTAGACCATGTAGCATCATGGAAAATATTTGAGACAATGTTAGGCAAAAAATAAAAGCAGAACATTTGCATGTACATGTTATAAGCATAATGAATCAAGACTGGGAGAAAACATGGAAAATATCAAAGAGTGATATTAGAGTAGTAAAATCTTGGGGTCATTTTTCTTTAAATTTCCTTCAATATTGTCGAAGTATTTAAATATCATAATATAGTAAATGGAGTAGAAAAATTTATATTGACAAAATAATAGGTGGCCACAAAGAGAAACTGTCATAGACCTAATATTTAGTTTTGACAGGAAGAAAGTCATCCATTTAAGTCACAGAAATCTAGAGCCATGGCGGTTAAGTCAACATGACAATATATGTGACCCTAGAGCAACATTCTTGCCCTTAACGTAACAACCCATCCTGACATGATAGTGCGATAGTTTTCATTTTCTTTAGAATAAATTTGTATTTATTTCTTTTCACACCAGTGCCAATCCACCCTCACACCTACAAAATACTCTCTAAACCAAATATCTAGTCACTTCCCCCCTGTTCCAGTATCCCATACAGTTATCCCTCCAATCCTTACCTCCTCCACTTTTAAACCATTTACCAAGTATAATACCATCTATTCTCTTCCAGCCAATTTATATGCATTCATATACATTCTTTTTCGTCCATTCTATTTTCACCCACTTCTCTTATTTCTTGATTTACAAAATCCTTCTGTATTTAATCTACATTTTTTATTTCTTTTGCTTAGCTTTCTTGTATACACGTTTGGACATATATTTAAGTATGTGGTATAATACGTGTGGCTGAGGTAAGCATCTTGTGTATAAATGATTTGTACAGACGTGTGAAACATGTTCAAGGATATGTCTACATGGGTATTGTGGAAGACATTTTTGGCTGCCTATCCAAAAGCCATTCCACCGTCCTCCTTGCTAACAGAGTCCTGATTTTGGACTTCCAGGTAAGGGAACTTTTCTCTGGCTCAGGTGTAAATGTGGAATAATAAAAGTTATCAGAGTACTCCCATTACCTAGTGATTGATTTAAGAATGGATACGTGGCCCAGTTCTGACCAAGTGGTTATAACAGAAGGTCTGCGGGGGAGTTCCTAAGAATTTTCTTTCACCCACTAGCTATTGTCTTGTTGGCATATGATGCTTAAAATTACAGTGGACATCTTGCGGCCATGGGACTGCTAAAAAAAATGCTAAAGATGGTACACTAGAAAGATAAGAAGAACCTGGCCCCTCATGATGCTGTTGAGCTGTTAATGTAAAATAATAAATTTATCCTATTGTTTAAGCCATTTGAGCTTCTTGCAGCCAAAAAAATATTCTACATATTCTTGTTTTGGGGGCAGATGGAAGGTGGGGTGTGGGCAGTCCTATGTGGAGAGCAGCTATGATGGCTAGGAGTGGGTGTTTGACCCAGAAGAGTCAGTTATTGAAGGGTTTTTTCCTTTCTTTCTTTCTTTCTTTCTTTCTTTTTTTTTTAAAGAGATAGAGAGCACAAGTAGACAGAGAGGCAGGCAGAGGGAGAGGGAGAAGCAGGCTCCCCGCGGAGCGGGGAGCTCGATGCGGGACTCCATCCCAGGACCCCGGGATCGTGACCTGAGCCGAAGGCAGCCGATTAACCAACTGAGCCACCCAGGCGCCCAGGGTTTTTTCCTTCCTGATTGTGAGTGGAAGATAATAGGGTGGCCTTATTTTCTAAACCAGCAATTAACCTTGACACAAGATCCTGTGTCAGAGAAGAATGTTTAAATTTGTAGAAAATGGCCATGGCATAGTCCTAAGTGGAGCTGAAGAAGTAATGGTCATAAAATTAAATCTTCTGAGTCTAAAGTGAGGCCATGGTCAATCTGAGACAGTTAGTAGAAAATTCTGTCTAGTTTCTCTTCTGTGTGCGGGGAGTCTGCTTCTCCCTCTCCTTTTGCCCCTCCCCTTGCTAGTGCTCTCTCTCCCCCTCCAAATAAATAAATAAAATCTTCTTAAAAAATAAAATAAAATGTTGAGTTGGAGATAGTTTCTCTCTGATCTTAAGTGTTTTTTCCCTCAATGAGTGGATGGTATAAAAATATTCCAAAGAGCAAAGTTGCAAGGAGAACATATAATATTTCTAATTATTTATGATGATCTTAATACTCTCTCATATTGAAATGTTTGAAAGATTTAGCTCTATTTTTTTAGGGCCAAACATATTGGTAGATATTAATTCTAGCTAAGAGCAGCATTGTCCCATAAACATCATAGACCAAGATTGCTTTTTCAAAGTGTGGAAATCTTTTTATTTATTTGGTGTCCCAGAGAAATGAGATCTCTATCCTTTATTGTTAAGCATTTGGTTTGTTTCAAATAATTACCTATACTTGGATATTTAGCCTGGCCCAAGAGATCCCTGATTTTGCATCAAATTATCAACAACTGAAAAACCAAGATAACTTTAAATTTGCTTACATTGTTTGGCAACTTGTTTTTAAATTAAATTGCTCTTGGTTAGGGGTGCCTGGGTGGCTCAGTCGTTAAGCGTCTGCCTTCAGCTCAGGTCATGAACTCAGGGTCCTGGGAGGCTCAGGTCATGATCTCAGGGTCCTGGGATTGAGCCCCTCATCGGGAGCCCTGCTTGGCTGAAAGCCTGCTTCTCCCTCTCCCTCTCCCACTTCCCTGCTTGTGTTCCCTCTCTCCCTGTGTCTCTCTCTGTCAAATAAATAAATAAAATCTTAAAAAAAAAATAAATTGCTCTTGGTTAAAACCATCTGAGATCTAACAAAAAAGGATTTTAAGTTATGACAGCAATTTTAATGATTATAGTATATCTGCAAACAATTATGTTAGTAGGTCACTCAGGAAGACAGTGGAATATAGAAAAAAGAGACTGTCTGAGTGTGCAAGCCTCCATATTGGAAGTTGCTAGAAGGTAAAGATGAATTCACAGCCTAGTAACATTCAGGGCAAATAAGTGAATGGATAGCAAACTATTTATGGGAGACATGAATGCAAAGCAAGTGCTAAGAGGAATGTTAAGAGAAGATTTTTCATGGGTCTTTTGTGTTTCTGCATGTCTTGCCAGCAAGACACTGACTGCCTTAGTTCCAGATTATTTTTCAAGAATGTTTGTATAGTCAACAGTCTTGGAAGATGGAGATGATCTCTTTCTAGACACAAAAGGTAGGCATGTTTACTGCTCATTATAAAAGATTCAAGTTCCCTCAGCTCACTGTTTCTCTCCTGGAATGCAGAAAGCTGCTCAATGAAATTGAGGAAATTTGGTATAATTAGAGCCTGTCTGGAGTTAGTTTGCTTATTAATTGACAGTTATAAGCCATAATGATAAGCAAGGTAGCTATAAATATTCTTCAAAAAATAATTTTCTCAGAGTTTCACCTAGGACATATTTTGTGCAGTTGTGACAATGGAAATTATGACTTACCAACAGGATACTTGGCTATGGAACGAGTGGTTGCATATTTGAGGGAAGGATGTTCAATAAGATAAACATAGCAGGGCAATGGAGCCAAAGAAGTCTGAAAAGAATTTAAAACATCTTTCTTATTATGTAAAGACCATATGCTTTTTTCTCTTTGCTACTAGAGGGTCAATAATGCCTTCAATATGTTCTACAACATCAGCTAAGATTAGAAAGACAGCTTTATGAAATACTCCAAGATTCAGTGTTATTATTATAGCTTTGAAAACACACCAATGAATTACATATAAAATTGAATTCTGCATAGCTTTCTGGGTAGAAGGTACATCAAACAATTCTCCAAGACCATGATCAAAGAACATGAAATAATTTTTCCTTCTGGATGGATTTGGTTATTTTTGTTTTCACCCCTGGTTACAGTTACTATTTAGCTTCAGATTGGTCACATAAAGAATTCTGTTTCCACCCCTACAGTCCAGGTCTGTGCAGACATTAGGTGACTTCCCCCACCTCCACTTATCTGAATGAGAATTCAAGATATGCCTCCAGGTTTTGGTGACAATGTCAGCCATGCTGCTTCTATGCCTGGCAAACAGAGCATTTGGCTCTCCCTTCAATGAGCAACAAAAAAATTGCTGCATTATGATCTCCCACCAGAACTACTATCTAGTTATTACCAAAAACTCAAGGGAAACAAAAATAACAATTATTCTTTACTATATGCTAGGTATGAGGCTAAATGCTTTAAATACTTTATCTCATTTAAGGCTTCTAACAGCCATATGGGTAAGTGTTGCTCTTACGCCAATTTCATACAACAAGGGAAGCAGGGTTTTGGGAGTGGGCTATCTTGTCCAAGGTTAGTGAGTGAGAAAGCAAGGATTATAAACCTAGGTTCTCCTGGCTACATGGGTCAAACTCTTTTCACTAGATCATACTATCCCTCTGGAAGGAAGAGCATCTATTACACAGAAATAAACATATAGTTTATTATTTGTGGTTTTGCTTGGTTGTTACTTTCTAGCAACTGTTTCTCTAGCTATAGGCACTGGATTGCTGAATTTTTCATCCTGGAAATTTCTTAGCCTTAAAATGATTAGTTTTATCAAGTACTGGAAGAACAGATGTGTGTTGGGGTATCTGAATTAAATGCAGACAAGGGCAGAACTAAAAAGAGCCACTCCTTCCATCACTGGCCTTTAGTCAACATTAAATGACTATTTCTTGAGCTTCCTAAAACTAGAATTGAGCTACTTCAACCACACCATTTTAAATTTACCAAATAGCCTATGGTTTGGTGGCTGTCTGGATAAAAGATTTATAATTTTATAGACAAGTATCCACAACTGTCTCATTATTTTATTCACTGTCTTTATTTTTTAAATTTTATTATGTTATGTTAATCACCATACATTACATCATTAGTTTTTGATGTAGTGTTCCACGATTCATTGTCTGCGTATAACACCCAGTGCTCCAGGCAGTACGTGCCCTCTTTAATACCCATCACCAGGCTAATCCATCCCCCCACCCCCCTCCCCTCTAGAACCCTCAGTTTGTTTCTCAGAGTCCATAGTCTCTCATGGTTTGTCTCCCCCTCCGATTCCTCTCCTTCAATTCTCCCTTCCTACTATCTTCTTCTTCTTTTTTTTTTTTTTTAACATATAATGTATTATTTGTTTCAGACGTACAGGTCTGTGATTCAACAGCCTTACACAATTCACAGCGCTCACCATAGCACATACCCTCCCCAATGTCTCTCATCCAGCCACCCCCCACCACTCCAGCAACCCTCAGTTTATTTCCGGAGATTAAGAATTCCTCTTATTAGTGAGGACATATGATACATGTCTTTCTCTGATTGACTTATTTCACTATTCACTGTCTTTATTATTTTACTCATTTCCTCACCTTTTTTCCTGCCTGTCAACACTGCCTCTATTCTGGTGCCCTTCCCACTCCCTCATCTCTCTTGGACACTCCCTCATCTCCTGACCCTTTTCTGGTTGTCTTACACCTATAATTGACTTAAAAGTACAGGAACTAGGCTAACTTATAAATTAATAACATTGACATTACCTTAATATAATGAAACATCTGAATTAAAAAGTCATTCCTGGAATCTTCAAGAATAAGAGTGCATCCCATGTTAGAAGTAGTGTTGTGAAGGTCAAAAATAACGTCATAGGAATCTTCATTGTCTTTTGGGCCAAATAAATGATTTATTTCTTGAGCCCTTCTCACTTCATATGGCAAATCCTTTGACATGGTTTTGCTGTTATTAGCAGAAATAAAAAGATTAACAACATCTGTGGCTAAGATAACATAAATGTATAATAAGAACACAGTGTATAAGGAACGAGTTGCCAAATCTTTAATATGAAAAATCTGTAAGGGAAGAGGAAACTTATTTGAAAACTTCATAAATAAAAAATTCCTTTTTTTTTTCTCCATTTGATTTTATGTAATGGTGCATTGGTATGCTCACAAGCCATAGTTCATTTATGTGGCTGATCCCAGAAAGGACATTTCAAACAGAATTTACCATTTGACTTCAATGTTGAGCAAAATTTATTCATTAATTTAATCAAGTTTTTTAAAAGTTATGTACACTGGGCTATTTTATGGGGCTAGACCATCAAACACACACATAAATTTTTTTTGTCCTCTAGCCAATTTTCTAGTGCACAAAAATAGTCAAACTTAGGTGATCATGTTATCTAATTAGGGATTCTAATTGAGATCAGGGAACAACTAGTGGTCCAGGGCAAGCTTTACAAAGTCTGTAAACTCTGAAGAAAACACAAAATTTTGCAGGTATTTGCATATGTTGTTTTTTTTTTTTTTTTTTTCAGATAAGTTTTTTTTTTTTTTAATTGAATTCTCATATGAGTCTCTATCTCCCCTTACTCTTTAGGATACATTTTTTTTCTTACTGTACATGATGACGATTTAAGTTTATTTTTCCTCATTAAACAATGGTTTAATTCAATCACTTCTCTATAATTCCATCTATATCTGTTCCCTGACTATTTTTGTTAGTATCTTCAAGGGACCTACAGTTTGAACCTGGGTAATTCCTGCCTGAAATGCAATCAAGAAGGTGGAGCAGCCATTTTTGACCATAAAGCAAAACTATGAGGACAAAATTTACATATACTAAGGATGGTGCAGTGGGAAGACAGAAGAGACCTGTCACACTAATGATGTTATTGAACCCCTGCAACCAGCCCTGGACTGCCAACCTCTGCACTTATTTGTGAAAAAGAAAACATTTATTTAAGCCACTGTTTTCAGATTTTTATCATATGCAACCAAACATAATTCCTAATGGATAGATAAGCATTTTATTTTTTTAAGATTTATTTATTTATTTTAGAGGGGAGGGAGGGGCAGAGGGAGAGGGAAAGAGAGAATCTCGAGCAGACTCCCCACTGAGCATGGAGCCTGATGTGGGGCTCGATTCCAGAACCCTGAGATCATGACTTAAGCCAAGATCAAGAGTCAGCCACCCAACCAACTGAGCCACCCAGATATGTTTCCTCTACCCCCAACTGATTTGCTTCTAATTCTCCCTCATGTGAATAAATGGCGTCACTAGCCACCCAGTTGCTCAGAGCCTAGGGTTGGAGTCCTTAAAGATAATGAACACTTTGCATTTTCATGCCTGGAGTCCAGGTCTCATAGGAGGAGTCCCAAGGGATGAAGCTGAAACAATAGGTAGGGACAAGATCCTAAAAGGCACAGCAGCAATACTAAGTTACTTAAATCTATGCTGGATAGGAGATTTTTGAAGAATTTTCAGCTGGGGACAGACATGATAAGATTTGCCTGTTAGGATGATCCCTATGGCTGCTACAGAGGGTCAATGGCAGAAAGGAATGGAGTAGGGGTAGATGCAGAGATTCTTTAGGAGGGTACTCTAACTGTCCACAGAAGAAATAAACTAAGGAAGTGAAAATGCAGAGGAAGATTGGATTTGCAAAATATTCAATACTTGAATAAAGGGGAAGATTTTGTGACTTACTAGACATGGGGCTTGAGGAACAGGAAAGGTTCTAAGTTGATTTCCATAGGGGATTTGGTGGATAATGGTGACATCACTGAGAGGGTGAATACAGGAAAAGGAACAGATTTGGGAGAAGGAAGACCAGAGAAGGTAATTAACTTATCTATCTTATAAGTTTCATAACCACCCTGAGAGAGAACTGTCTAACCTCTGAAGAGTGTCAAAGTATAAGAACTAGGAAATGAATTTAATTTAAAAGACTGCTCTCATTGAAAATGCATACTATTGAGTGGTCATAATAAGAAGACTCACCCCAGTCCATTTCAGAGTTATCTGAGAAGTTAACATGCTGACTAAAAGTTATTCTTCAACAAATTCTTGTAATGTAAGAGTTAGTTGAAAGCTATTTTAGGTGACTAGATAAACCTTAATTGTATCAACATAAGCTCAGTCATGAAGATAAAGCATTCCTGAAATTAAAATGTATACTAGTAAAAATAGGATTTGATTCACAAAACATAACTAATTATAATTTTCCCTAGAAAACATCTATTTCATAAAGTGAGGCGTATTTGTACTAAAAGTAGTAATCATCTTTTGATTGGCTGTGAGATTAAATTTAAGAAACTCTAAACTGAAGTTAGTCTTTATTAGAAAATGAGTACATAAATCAGTGCTGTGTTAGTTGTTCCTTTGCATGTCTTCTATCTTAGTCGTCTTCCAACTTGTTGCAGGCAGAAACCATTTTGTACATAGCTTTGTACTCCCACAGTGCCTGACACAGTGCCCCGTGAAGAAGTGTTTACTGTTGGTGGGAATGCAAGCTGGTGCAGCCACTCTGGAAAACTGTATGGAGGTTCCTCAAAAAGTTGAAAATAGAGCTACCATATGATCCAGCAATTGCACTATTGGGTATTTACCCCAAAGATACAAATGTAGGGATCCGAAAGGGTACGTGCACCCCGATGTTTATAGCAGCAATGTCCACAATAGCCAAACTGTGGAAAGAGCCAAGATGTCCTTCAACAGATGAATGGATAAAGAAGATGTGGTATGTATATACAATGGAATATTATGCAGCCATCAAAAGGAATGAGATCTTGCCATTTGCAACGACGTGGATGGAACTGGAGGGTATTATGTTGAGTGAAATAAGTCAAACAGAGAAAGACATGTATCATATGATCTCACTGATATGAGGAATTCTTAATTGCAGGAAACAAACTGAGGGTTGCTGGAGTGGGGGGTGGGGTGGGAGGGATGGGGTGACTGGGTGATAGACACTGGGGAGGGTATGTGCTCTGGTAAGCGCTGTGAATTGTGCAAGACTGTTGAATCTCAGATCTGTACCTCTGAAACAAATAATGCAATCTATGTTAAGAAAAAAAAAAGAAGAAGAAGGTAGCGGGAGGGGAAGAATGAAGCAGGGGAAATCGGAGGGGTAGACGAACCATGAGAGATGATGGACTCTGAAAAACAAACTGAGGGTTCTAGAGGGGAGGGGGGTGGGAGGATGGGTTAGCCTGGTGGTGGGTATTGAGGAGGGCCCATTCTGCACGGAGCACTGGGTGTTATGCACAAACAATGAATCATGGAACACTTCATCTAAAACTAATGATGTAATGTATGGGGATTAACATAAGAATAAAAAAAGTGTTTAATAATATTTTTAGATAAATAAAAGAAAGTAGTAAAAAGCAAATACTAAGAAGCCTATATATCTACACTAGGAGCTACAAAGATGTAAACATAGGAAACAATTAATATTATTTATATTATGTGTTATATTATGTATTATAATTAATACCTAGAGTGTTACTATTGCATACATTGTGTGCAATATATTATAAACCAGTTGCAAGTTAAATTCAGAACATGCAGGTGAAGTGTCTTTATCTCTCAGCGATCCACCACTGAAGCCAGTACATCTACTCCTCTTTCACAGGGTGGCCTGATTTTTTTGATGAATATTTTTTTGAAAATATTCACATTTTTTGTTAAAAAAATATTAATTGAAACATTACAATTTTCTTGACTAGAACTTTATGTACTACCATAAATGCAGTTGCATGAACACATAGTAGTGAACCACCTAGAAAGCTAACAAATATGTATGCAAGCATAGTGGCCAAACACAATAAATTTTAAGACCATTAAATCTGTTTCTTTAAATATAGGATTTAAAAATAAAAAACCTTGTTATTTATTGTCTCAGTCTATACAGAATGCATTTAAAAAGAAAATCAGTTAAGAATAGTCTGATGCTTTAAAAAGTTTATAAGAGAGCATGTGAATGCCCAGTTTAGGTGACTGAGAAATTCATAGTAGAGTATAATTAAAAGTGAAAGTGATCTTATTCACAACAGTGATCATATGTACGGATTTGTATATCATGCACTACACATACATGTTCTCTCACACATACCACTTTTCACACACACACACACACACCCATACGTGCACCCATGCATACAACACAAAATGTAGTCTTACCCAAGATTTTCAGAGTCAAAAACTCGATTCAGGTCACAGTCAATATATCTGGTACACTTCTTCACTGCTCTTGGGTTGGTAATAAATGGTTTTACTTCCAGCCCTGTTCTCTGAATCTCAGCGCCATTCTCCAGCCAGTGCTTAACTAGAAATACTCCTGTTAACTCATTCCCATGAGTTCCTCCAAAGATAGCAACCTTTTTTATAGGATCTTCAGTAACATGACAAGAAGTCATTTTTATCAAGAAGTTTTATCTGATTTCTGCAGTTCAGAAAAGAGGAGATCAAATAAAAATTTCTTTTAAAAAGTTTAGAAATTTAAATTTAAATGAGACTTTAACCAAGGTGCAAAGTGCAGAGTTCTCTTGAGTGGATTGTAATTTAATATTCTGTTACAAGTTCTGAGCCCTGTTTATTATAGGGACACTCCCTTCTTTAGCCCTGCCCTTTACCATATTTGGATTAAAATATGCAGAGATGAACTAGATACAGCTGTTTAACTTCTTACTCCCTCACATGGTCAGTAGATCTAAATGCAATAATAAATTAGCATCTCATACTAATACAAAAATTCTGTTTTCCTTTCAGCTAGAACGTCACCTACTGGTGCTTCTAAGACTACTTGTAATGGTAAAAATAGTTTATACTTTTCTAATCCTCAAAAATATAAAAAATTTAAAAAACTATATAAAAATAAGGAAGTGGTTCATAATATGCATGCTATTATTTGATATTTATGTTTCTTTTCTGAAATGAGTTCAAATCCTTTTCATCACTGGAGGACATTTGAATCTCACCTCCAAAAACAGCCAAAGACAGATAGATCCTAAGAGACCTCCTGTGGAACCAGCATTGTTTCTTTCAGTAGCTTTTTCATGGTCAGAGACACGAGAACCAAGTAAATGATCCCTAGGACTTAGAAAGTTACTTTCAAGTATGCTTTAATTTCCTTCTGATGAAGTTTTTGATAATTCTGTCAATTTCTTTAGGAATCATCCTCACGTTTTGCCTTAATACTAAAGGAAAAGCAACTGGGGATAATTTTCAAGTCTTTGTAATGCTTGAAAATGTCTTGGGGCATGCTATATACACTAACCAAATTAAGAATTTATTATAATACACAGTCTGACTTACTGGCAGCACAGACTCTTCATTGGAATGTATTACTCAATAGGGGGCCTTACTAGGGGAAACTATCCAGAATACTAAGATGATTACATCCCTTTGGAAAAATGACTCTGAACAAAATCAGATTTGATTTCATGCTCAGTCATCCAGAAAGTCAAATATGTTCAAATACTGGAAATACTATGTACTAGTAATGTCAGATTGTTTGATAGGGGTACAAGAGTAATTCATTACAACCACAGAGTAGTTTCATTTATAACTAAATTTCCCACATGTTATCTCAGTTTATTCATATATTCACTTTCTAAGATACAGTAGGTTAGGTATTGACATTCCCATTGTAGTGCTAAAGGAAAAATCCCTCAGCTACCAGGAGAAAATTGGGCCTGGGACCCAGGTTTTCTGATTCTGAGCCCAGTGTTTTTTACAGAACAGGGTGCTTCCTGTTATTTTTGGACTTTCCCAAAGTTCTAATTTTGCTCTTTTGGAATTCACATAAACAGTTACTATAGTGTGCTCAGGAAACAAACAAGCATACAAACAAAACATATGTTAGAGAATATAAAATGTGAATGTTTCATAATATTTAATAAATTAATCCCTATGTTCTTCCTTTAAGAGATTATAATGCAGAGATAGAGAAAGCAAAATAATAAAATCCAAATTTACACATTAAAATTACTGTTCTAACCTAAGAAAAAGCCTCTGTAGCCTTTGATTTTCTATCCACATCAATGTACAGGGAACACTTCAGTGTAGAGATGCTGAAAACAAGCCTAAATGTAAACAAATGATAGTTGTATTGTTTGCTTTGGTTTTAAGAGTTGTAACTATGGTGAATTATTAACACTTGATTATGTTTTGTTTCTTTTCTGCTGATTGTGGTTAGTTCTGTTCTTTGCCCTAGTCTCTCTGGAAATGCTGCCTTGGTTATTTACTCGTAGCTGGCACAAATTACTTGCATTTCAAGGCTTGTTTTATGGAATTTTAACAGATCAGCACTTCGAAGCACATTTAACATTCATAAATAAAGTTTCCCTTACATGTCAAAATGAATAAATTTTTTGAGAGTTAATGAATTACAGCAATTCTGTCCTATACTTACCTTGTTTATTGTGTACAGAGTTTGTCTTCTGCGGAAAGCTTTATTAGAAAAAAGGAAAGCATTTCCTTAGAACTAGAGCAACAGAGGCTTTTCATACTCTTATACCAAGTTAACTTCCGAAAGATTTTTAACTCCCTGTTTCCCAAAGCATACCAAATTTTTGAGCCCTACAAAATCTACAAATTTTTATTAGTCTAATTCTTTCCTGAGAACTCAAAGAACTGATGGTATACAAAGTGGAACTGTTTCTAGTTATCACCATCTCACTATTAGGTTGAATATTTAATGTTCTGAAGCATTTAAAAGAATAAGCCTAATAATTTCCAGCACTACAAATGTTTTGTAGGGGTGGTGGTGCCTGATTTATTAGTAAAATAATGTAGTATAAAACATATTCTCCTAAAGGGAGAATAAATTTTTCATTGTCTTGGTCATCCAATAAATTCATGCAAAAAATTTTGTGGGAGACATATTTAAGATGTTGTTTACAAAATAGTATGACTGGGAGATAAGGAGGGTCTTCTTTCCAATATTACATATAAGGAAGGTATCTCATTCATAATGCGATTGTCCAGCAGTCATGTAATCAAACTACTCTATTTAATTTTTTTCCTTCCTTTGTGGCTCTCTTGCTGTGACGCATCCTGACCAACTTTCCAGATGAAAATATATCAATGTAGCCAGAACAAGATTGGGATAAAATAGGTAAGCTTATACACTGCTAGTAAAGATTCCACATTGATCATGTCTGCAGTCCTGACAGATGTACCACAGCATGTTGCTCATAGTGGATTTAAAGTATTTGGGGTTTTGTTGTTGTTGTTGTTTTTTAAGATTTTATTTATTTTGACAGAGAGAGACAGTGAGAGAGGGAACACAAGCAGGTGGAGTGGGAGAGGGAGAAGCAGGCTTCCTGCTGAGCAGAGACCCCAATGCGGGGCTTGATCCCAGGACCCTGGGATCATGACCTGAGCCAAACGCAGACGCTTAACTACTGAGCCACCCAGGCGCCCCTAAAGTATTTTTTTTTATTCTTATGTTAATCCCCATACATTACATCATTAGTTTTAGATGTAGTGTTCCATGATTCATTGTGCATAACACCCAGTGCTCCATGCAGAATGTGCCCTCCTCAATACCCATCACCAGGCTAACCCATCCTCCCACCCCCCTCCCCTCTAGAACCCTCAGTTTGTTTTTCAGAGTCCATCGTCTCTCATGGTTCGTCTAGCCCTCCGATTTCCCCTGCTTCATTCTTCCCCTCCTGCTACCTTCTTCTTTTTTTTTCTTAACATAGATTGCATTATTTGTTTCAGAGGTACAGATCTGAGATTCAACAGTCTTGCACAATTCACAGCACTTACCAGAGCACACACCCTCCCCAGTGTCCATCACCCAGTCACCCCATCCCTCCCACCCCCCACCACTCCAGCAACCCTCAGCTTGTTTCCTGCGATTAAGAATTCCTCATATCAGTGAGGTCATATGATACATGCCTTTCTCTGTTTGACTTATTTCGCTCAACATAATACCCTCCAGTTCCATCCACGTCGTTGCAAATGGCAAGATCTCATTCCTTTTGATGGCTGCATAATATTCCATTGTGTATATATACCACCTCTTCTTTATCCATTCATCTGTCGATGGACATCTTGGCTCTTTCCACAGTTTGGCTATTGTGGACATTGCTGCTATAAACATCGGGGTGCGTGTACCCTTTCGGATCCCTACTTTTGTATCTTTGGGGTAAATACCCAGTAGTGCAATTGCTGGATCATATGGTAGCTCTATTTTCAATAAAGTATTTGTTTTTAATGAGAAATCATTTTTGGTGTGTGTGTGTGTGTGTGTGTGTGTGTGTGTGTGTATCAGGTCAAAATCTGTTTCCCCAAAGCTTTTAGTCATATTTAAAAATCCCTTTTTGGAACCATGACAACTAACAAGTCTTTTTAGACATTTTATTGTGTGAAATCTTCTCTTATCCAGATTAAATGAAGACACAATTCCTTCAAACTTATTCCTTAGTTTGGCATTCATACTTATTTTCCTCCTTTTTTTTTTTAAGAGGGGGGAGGGGCAGAGGGAGAAGGAGGGAGAGACTCTTAAGGCAAGCTCCACACCTAGTGGGGCACCTGATGTGGTGCTCGATCTCACAACCCTGAGATCACGACCTGAGCCAAAGTCAGGAGTCCATCGCTTAACCGACTGAACCACCCAGGTGCCCCTCATTCTCCTTCTTTTGACTTAATCTTATAAAATTTGACCCTCCAACAATGCAAGGTTTAGGAGTGCTGACCTCCAAGCAGTTGAAAATCTCTGTATAACTTTTGATTCCCCAACAACTTAAATTGCTAATAGACTACTGTTGACTAGAAGCCTTACCAAGAGTCAATTAACACATTTTGCATATGTATTATATACTGTATCCTTACAATAAAGTAAGCTTGAGAAAAAAAAGTTACTAAGAAAATCGTGACAGAAAATACACGTACAGTACTGTACTCTAAAAAATCCATAGATCACTGGGCCTGCACAGTTCAAACCTGTGTTGTTCAAGGGTCAACTGTATTAATATGTCTCACGGCTTCACAGTCCTAGGCCTGTACTAATAACCTTCCCTCCATCTCTAGACCCTCTGCGTTTCTGTTCACCTATCCCCGTCTTCAAATGGTCAGAAGTTATAGTAACAAAAAAACACGTCTTGGACGCCACAGACAGAGCTAGGATTACTATTTCTGGCCTGTAGTAAATATTCGGTAAATAGCAGCTACTCTTGTCAAATAAAGGCTAACATTCACTAAACATTTACGGCGTGCCAGGCCTGTTCACTTTCCCTTCTAACACTTCGAGGGTAGTTGATCAGGCAGTCGTCGCCGTTTTACTGAGGAGGGAAAGTAGGTTGAGAGAAGGTAAAGAGCCTGCCCAAGGCCGGGGGCCAGGAAGCGACCGCCCGGCGCGGGAGGACCGGAGCCGCGGTCACCGCACCGCTGCGTTTCTCGTCGGCCTCAGGCGCGTCTTCTCTCCGCTGAGCGCACACAGCCCAGGCCCAGCCTTACCGGCCGCTCTGATTCGCAGGGCGCGCTTCTGAACCGGCCCGGCCCTCCCACTGAGGCCCCGCCAGGAGACTTAATTCCCAGCCCCGACCCGCAAGGTGAAGCTAGGCCTATGACCTGGTTTTGAGGCCTGTGGCCTTTGAATTATTCTCTTCTAGGTGAACTCCCAGCGTCTCACAAACTGACCTCTAGAACCTAAAAAATACGTGTGTTTCCAAGGGGGGAGGGGGGCAGGGAAGTGTTGGGCGGCCAGTCCTGGGTACGCCTCCGCAGTGAGCAGAAACAGGTTTGTCCCTAGCGCCGTTCCTGCGCCGCGTACTGCACAGCTGTGAACGGGAGGGCAGGTGCGTTAACGTTCTCGTTCCTGAGACAGGCGGCATGTGTCCTCCTCGCCGTCCACGGAGCGGACGACGCCATCGCGCCACTGACCCAAAGGTGGGTGGCCCCTGCGCCTGCGCAGTTGGAGGCGCGGGAGGCGGCGCGCCTGCGCAAAGCTCGACTTCTCGCGCTTTTTCGGAGGCCGGGAAGTAGGCGGTGGCTGACTGGGGTGTGTCGGCGACGGATGGCAGGGCGGCCGGCGAGGGTTGTTGGAGGCGTGCGAACCTGAAGGTGGAAGTTGCGTGTCGTGTTGGCTGGAGGGCCAAGGAGGGAAAGACCTATTGTCCCTAGTTACCAAAGTGCCCCAGTCCCTGCATCAGTAGAGGTCGTTGGAAGAGAACTTACCCCTGACTGGACCGCCCGGGAGGAGCCATAGTAGGCCCTCCTGGCCTCCATTTGAGGCAGAGGTCTTTGGGGGGATGCGTGCGTGCGTGTGTGTGTGTGTGTGTGTGTGTCGTACTTGGTTGATTTTGTTTGCCTGGTACTCAGAAACGTAATAGCCCTTGGAGGCGCCTCTAGGTTCGGGGTGTGCGTTGCATTGGTACCTCTATGATGAGAAGACGTTGCGGAACCCCTGCTTGCTTCCTAGGGTGACATCACGAATATTTTCTAAAGGGCCTGCCACGTCCGGCTTCAAGCCCGAGATGTGGAACCAAAGCAGAAATAGTCCCTGCCCTTACGTTTCCCAAGTTTCATTTCTTTAAATGATATTTGGACACTAATGTTTACCTCAGTATGATTTATATTGTTGCTTAGTTGTGTTCATGTCTGTTTTCCTCATTGGATAGTGAATTTAGGAGCAGAAATCACCTTATTAAGTTTGTGTTTTGCCTTTTCATGTAATAGTTAAGTGTTTGTTGAATTAAATTGGGATTGAAATATATTAGGAGGCTAAACACGGAAAAAATTACAACGTATTTTGTTGTAGAAGAAAAAAAGAAAAAACTTCTTTCACTTGTTGGAGTTATATAGACACTAAATAGAAACTTATCATTACAATTATTATAGATATTGAGGCCTTAGTCTTTGGTATTATATAATACAGGGATCTCAAATTAATGGCCGAAGCAAGTGATCTGCACAGTGTTTTAAAGTGAGATAGCGCATGTTCTCACGTGGTTCGTTCCGTTGTTTGTGTTTCCTCCGTGGCCTTGTAAGCACACCAGTTTGCCAGTGTTCGTAGTCCATTTCCCTCTGTATAAATCTGGTTCAGAACTGTTGTTATTGTGGGTCCTTGGTCCTGGAATACATATGTAGAGTGTGTGAAAATCCATGTATGTTTAGGAAGCAACGTTATAGCCGCCTTAGTCCTAACCAATTTCGAACAGAGTTGGAAAAATAGATTATATTACAAATTCTTACTCGGGAAGCAAGATTCTGTAAAGTGATTCCCTTATCAGGTTTGAAACCGTAGTGTTAAATCATGATTTCAGTAATTACTAGGCTGAGAATTTGATTTTTTTTGTTGATACAATTTGAGTTGCAAATTTCTTTCTTTGAAGATTTAGTCAGACAACTTCATTTGTAAATTTGGAATGCTAAAGAAAAGTTACAGACTTTGATATTGAAGGAAATGAAGAGAAACCTAAGTGAAAATTCAACTCGAAGTACAGCAGGTATTGAAGAATTTTATTGTTTGATTTTATTTATTAAATTTTTATTTTAAATTTTGTGTATTTTTATATACCATGTAAACCATGTGTAGTTTATAGATGGAACGTTTTGGAAGGAACTTTTTAAAAAGATTGAACATGTAGTCTAGCCTCTTTACTTTTTAGGTCCAAGGAAATAAAATAACTAAGTCAAAACATTTAGTGGCAGAGGTGGGAGTAAAATGAAACATTCCTGGATTTACCCTAGTATTCTTTCTACAAACTCTGTGTGCTTGAGTTGTTTTTCACTTTTAAGCTGAAAACAAAGAAATTGATTTATTTCTATTTGTATTTGTGACTTACTTAAAATATTTCCAGAAGCACTTCTGTCTCCCTAACAATTTCCCCTACCATTTCTGCTTTCCCAATTTATTAGTAAAAGGACAGAGGGTAAGAATGAAGAGAACCAGGGGAATGGTGATAATACACGTGTAGACAGTAATAACTATTTATGGTGGCTGTGTTGTATTCTAGCCATTTAATTATATGTATTAATTTATTTAATCCTTAAACCAGCCCTCTGGGATAGGCATTATTATTATCATTCCTGTTTTCCAGATGAGAAACTAAGACACAGAGAGGTTAAATAAGTAATTTATGAAGTGGTAGAGCCAGCATTTGAACCTAGGAATCTGGCTCTAGTGTCCATGCTCTTAATCCCTGTATTATCCTGCTTCTCTGGGTATGTCATAATAGCACAATGAGTTGAGGAGATTGCCCAAATTTATACTTCAAAGTTGTGATTCAAAACCAGGCAATCTGATTTCAGAGCTCACATAATTTTCCCAACCTTTTATCAGACAATTATCACAGAGTCTGTGTTTTTCCCATAGTACGAGTGTTGATGGACCAGCTAGAGTATGATCTAGTGGCAAGATATCTGAACTGAGATTTAGGAAGCTTGGGTCCTATCTAGGCACTGTGCAAGGTTTTTGGACCCCCTTTTTTTTGTCTGAGATCCCTTCTAGTTTTAGTGTTTATAAATTCTGACTTTTGTCTTGACTTGAGATCCCAGGCCTCCCATCTGGAGGGCTTGGAGGTAATATTTATTTATCCCTCATGTGGATTGAATATTATCACTTTAAGCATTCTGAAGATGATCCACAGAAAATATGCATTACAGACACCTGGAGTGCATGTTAAAATTGCAGAGTTTTGAATTCCAAACTAAATCTGTTGAAATAAAATTTATGAGAGTGGGGTCTAGGAACTGGCATGTTAAGCACAACTCCATGTAAATCTTAGTCAAACTAAAGTTGGAGAACCATGGCCCTAAAGATTGTGCTGTCATAATCCAAAGAGTGGTTAGGATTTTGGAAAGCATGGGTCAGAGTTTGGTTCTCCCTCACCTCTATTGTACTTGAAGGGCCCCCTCCAGTTGACATGGTAATAAGCAAGCACAGAAAGGAAATAGGGAAAACAAAAAGTGGATTTGGAAATGGTTGGGGGGTGAGGAAGGAGATGGGAATTACTTCCATGCAAGAGGAATTAAATCAGCGTTAATGTAGAACAAGAAAGGCGTTTTTATAGAGACAAATGAGGTTATTTGGGACCTTAAAAAGAACATAAAAATCAATCCAAAGATGTAGAAATATATCTGTAATAAGTATAAAATTAACATATAGAAGTAGACAAATTGAAGTTGTTATTATACACAGTTAATTCTATAACTGGATCTATTTGCTATTGTGTACTAATTTATTGGTACATTCAATTTAGGCTGTTTGCCTGTACCATTGTTCAATCAGAAAAAGAGGAATAGACAGCCATTAACATCCAATCCACTTACAAATGATCCAAGTATCAGTACTGCTTCTGACAATTATGATTTCCCTCCTCTACCACCAGGTAAGAAAATAAGGTGAAAATTTTCGGAAAATAGGAATTAGGATTATAGAAAATTATCATTTTTATTTTATTATAATGGAAATAGAAAGTTTATTTTTTTCTTCTTTCCCCTATCCAAATATAGGGATTACTTGGCTCTTTCTGAACATTCCAGTACAGTAGTTTGAGTTTCCTTGTCTACAAGGGTGGCTTAGCATTTAAATAGAGTATCTTAGATCTGGAGCCTTTGTTCTAATGAAGTTGTAACCCACATTGTAAAGATTTGTTTTTTCTTTTTCAAGATATATGGATATTGTGACTTAGGCATGTGGTGATAAAGAATGGGGAAGCTCAAGTTGCCTCAGGAATTGGGATATGTGTACACATGAACACATGAAAAATGGGAGAAAATTTAGACCTTAGGAAGGGTAGAAGCCTAAAATTTCTCCTGCTTGGCTTTTTTCTCTTCTGATAGCATTTTGCCTTTTTTCATTTGTTGCTTTGTTTCTCTCATCCAGTTGGCTTCCTTATAGCTTTAACTAGCCCACGAACTAAATTGTCCTTGCTGGAAGTTAACATAGCCTTTTAGTTCTAGTTCTCAGAGTCCACTGTTGACTGCCTTCTGTATCTGTTGATTAAATCCTAAAGATAGCCTTTGGTTCAGCACATCTTTTTAAGTAAGGTCACTAAAATTCTGGTTTAGCTTTATGATTAGGCCTCTCATCTCTGCAACAATTAGCTGTGGTGGTGGGTGCTGAGCGGTCTTAATATTTGCTGACTTTTTTTTTCTCTTCAGAAGAAGGCACGGACAGGCAGGCATTCTGAAATATATTTGGTATATGCTGGTTATATACATTTATATATTTTTGAGGATACTTTAAAAACCTTTAATAGGATTTTTTGCAACTAGAATTTTAAAATTTCTCTCTCTCTATATATATATATTTGTTAATTTCATCCAGCATTTGTTAATTTCGTCCAACCATAGGCCTTAGTCTGCTTGTAAATCTATAATTATTTTCTTTTTTTCCACATTTGAGGAATTCAAACTAGGACTTTTATATTATTTTCATTTTTATCTATAAAAGATAAAAATTCACATGGATATACATAAATGGGCATTTATCTGGTCATCCTCTGCCATCTTAAAAAATTCTCTGACATTTAAAATATTTTTATAAATAGCGTGAATGTTGGCTTTGAAAAATAACAACAGTTGGAGCTACTCCATAGGGAAATGTTCATCCTCCTGAAGTACTGAACTGTCCAAGCTCTGAGCAGTATTACTATCTGTCAGAGATATAATAAGATTCTTACATTGGGTAAGAGATAGGGCTAGATCAGTGTTTTTCAAATTTTTGTCTTGATCCATAAGTCTGGTTGAGAACCAATCTTTAAAGAAGGAAATAGAAGTGAATAGAGTAGAGTAGAAAATGTCAGGGTGCATCACACATGGTAGGGATACAAATTGGTGTTGCAGTTTTGTTATGTTCTCTCTCCTTTGTCTTTCTCTTTCTCTCATGCACACCATGCATGTGTGTTTGTGTGTGTTTGTGTGTGTGTGTGTATGTTCTGGGCTATGATGTACTTTTTGCTGTGGGTTGGGATCAAAATATTTAAGAAACATTGATTACACTGAATTCACGCTACAGAGTACAAGGTACCACACTAGAATTGATCATGGAAAAGATATAGATTAACTATTACCTTTGTTTAAAATACAATGGGAAAGAAAGACATCTATAAAAATTAATAAGACAAATTCCACAACAAAGTACTGTTGAAGAACATATCCATATCTTCCAAGTCCTTTTCTTCTGCAGGCTTTTAGTTTTCTACCAATTAAATAAGTATGAAATAATTATTTTTTTTTTAAATGCTACCTACCGTACTTTTGTCTATGCTATCTCTATCTTTTGAGATTGGGCCTGGGAAGCTGTGGATCCAGAGTTGCCTCCTTTAATGAAAACAATGAACACAGGGTAGGTGGAAAACTATACCAGTAACTGTAGTGTCTGTTGCTGACTGATGTTATTCTTCATTGTATATTGTACATTTCTCACTTTGGAAACAAACTATTAATATTTAATAAGACATGTTTCCTTGAAAGGCAAATACCACATTCAGTTTCTCATCCTCTGAGAAGTCAAGATTCTGTGTGTAAGTCTATTCAATCAAATACTGAAAGAAGCAAGAGTCATTGGAGGTGAGTTTACTTAAGATTTTTCTTTCTTCTATTCCTTCTTCTCTTTCCCCTCTTTTTCTCTCCTCCATTCCCTCCTCCTTCATCTCTTCTTCCTTTCTCAGGCAAAATTACATTTAGGAAATTTTTATGCTTAATAGTATAAAAACATAGCAGTATTATCTTTGTTTTATAAAAGAAGTTTAAAAATGCTATATAAAACTTTAAAAATAGGCAGATTTGTCAGTGAATATGTTTCCAAAGAATTCCTCATTTTATAATGAAATTTCTGCCAATATTTATCATCATGCTGTGGATCATTAATAATCTAACTGACAGTAGGTGAAGAGTCAGGAATAACTGTATTTTAGTGTTGGATATATTTAGAAATTGACAACCAAATAGAATGGTCAGTCTCACCCTAGTAAGACAGTCAGCTCCATGGTAAACAGAACAGAGTAAGAAAGAAAGATGATGACCAAAATGCATATGCATAAACAGTGATAGGTGCTCAGGAAATGAAGATGACCATCAAGGAAGATGGTGAGGATGCTTCTGGATCATTGCCGTAAGAATCTAAGTTTAATCCCTAAATATGATGAAAAAATAAGTAGATAGGGAAAGGACATGCATTATTTGTTAGGTTGGATTTTAGTATTCTTGAGTAACTAGTAACTACTGAAGGAAGTAATTTTGGGAACAAAGTATTAGAAAAACAACATCAAACATGTATCATGTATCAGTCTTGTTTAGTGCTTTGATATGTTATTTTAATAATCCGTACAGCAATCCTGTAAAGTTAATATTACCTTCACTTTTATTAGAGATACCATTTTTTTTAAAGGGGAGAAACTTTTAATAAAGCAGTTAATAAATACATCAAAATAATATATATATTTTAAAATTAGTTTTGATCATGCTAGTTTCCTCAGAACCAGTTAGTTACTTTCTTTAGGATCAGGCCTTATTACCTAGGCGATTCATTGGTTTGAGATGGTCCTTGGAGGCACAGTTTCAGCTGCAGGTCCTGTAAGAAAATCCGTTCTGACTAGCATTAGAGAATTAGGTAACATTGTAATCTGGACAGGCAGTCAGTATTAGATATTCCAGTTTGAAATCATAGATAATCTATCAGATAGTTGGAATATAACAACAGAAAATCCAGGGGCAAAAACCATTTGAAAACCCAAGTAGGCAGCTGGATCTCCTGAAGCTCTTTTAACTGGTTCTCTGCTTAGCTTTAGAATCAACTTAAGCGCCTTTCATGGTTGGTGCTGAGGACCTGGCTGAGCTGGATGGCTGCTGAAGCAGCATCTTTGTGTGGGCTCACCCAGAAAGGTCAAAGGACTGTGGTTCTTCCAGGGCTTGTCCCCAGGCCAGGAGCACCTCCTAGACAAAGATGTGAGAGGAAGTTGCAAATGCGTTGTTTATCAGTAAGGAGTTGTAAGTGGAAAGAAACTTTTCTAAACTGAATAATAAATGTGATTTCTATAGCCATGAGAGAGGAAAGGCAAAATTTGGTTTCTGTTCTCTCTATTGAAAATAAAATTGCTGTCATATGAAGAGGTGATCAATGTAGGACAAATTTTATGGAGGTGTATCAGGCAGTTAGTTAATAAAAATACTAGTAATATTTTTTCCTGAATATTGTGATGTTTATGATATTTATCAACTTTTAAGTTTGAAGTTATTCATGATTTCTTTTCTCATTATTCTCATACCTAATTTTGTACCTAATTTACTTAAGAAGGCTGCCCACATTATACAAGCTTCAGGCCCCATACAGTCTGGACTTGTGCCTGGTCACTAGGGAACCTGGACTTTTCTTTGAATTATTTTCTCTAACAAGGGATGAGTTGTATTATTTGCCCCCTTGTAATACTGGTGATATTTTCAGGAAAATTATCCAGAAATAAGAATTTGTGACCTGGACTAGTTTCTCCCTGTGGAACTCTTAACTGGTCTGCTTAGAAATTATACTTTTGATTTTGGCCTCATTAACATCATGTTCTCATCAGCTAATATAATTCACTTAGATTAATGTAGCTACTAAAATGTTGCAACAGATTCATAAATTGGGCTTTTAAGCTATGTAGTAAAAGTACAAAATTTCTAATCAAATAGTTATCTACACTGCCTATGTTTATTCTCCTTGTGATTTAAACTCACCTATAAGCCATAGTTTAACTTGTTAAAATTTTACTTTGTAGAAAATTTTAAAATAAATGTATAAAGAAGCAGGCAAATGTCCTCAGAATCTTACCACTCAGAGACAACCACTATCATATGAAAGCTTAATAGTTTAAAAATATACTTTATAGCACTGGACTCTGAGTTGGGAGACTAGGATTCTCTGGGTTCCAGATTGACGGTTGTTGTATAACTTCAGGCAAGTTACTTCCTCCCTCAATTTCGTCACCTAAAAAGAGAGGTATAATGTATTGTAGGGTTGTTGTGATAATGTATTTGGAATTTCCAACTAGTCAGTAGTTACAAAGTACTTTATAAACCATAATTTTTCACTATTAATTTTTTAAAAGACAAAGTATATAGAAACAAACTAATACTAATTAAAAAAAAAACAAACCTATTACAGCTACAGGGATGACAACAAAAATTCCAGCTGGAAAACTTGGGATAGAAATGATGTTAGGCCTCAGTGCAAAAGAACAAACCTGGTGGCAAATGATGGAATAAATTCTTGTCCGAGGAGTTGGGGAGCTCAACAAGGGAAACAATTAAGAATATCAGAACCTCCTAACTCATCTCACCAAAGAGAAGCTGAAGTACTCAGACAAACATATTCGTCAAAAATACCTGGCTCCACAATGAGAGGTCTAGACAAAAACAGTGTGTTACAGGCATTTAAGCCTAATTTTCAACAAAATCAATTTAAGAAGAAAATGTTGGATGATATTTCAGAAAAAAGCACTCTCAAGGTAAACTTTTAAATATGGGTCATTTACATTTAAAAATGAGATAAATAAATATTTAGATTACAGAGATGAGAGCATTTAAAATCAATCTTATGGCATGCATTACATGGTTAACAAAGATATCTAGTCCCATTGGCATATATGAATGTTTCCAAAATATTTTCTTTTTTTTTTTTAAGATTTTATTTATTTATTTGAGAGAGAGAGAGAACACATGAGGGGGGATAGGGTCAGAGGACAAAGCAGACTCCCTGCCGAACAGGGAGCCCGACGTGGGACTCGATCCAGGGACTCCAGGATCATGACCTGAGCCGAAGGCAGTCGCTTAACCAACTGAGCCACCCAGGCGCCCACCAAAATATTTTCTTAAGGATTGTGAATGGCTGCTCCTTTTTGTAGTTGCCTTAGAGTGTCCTACTGGGTTTTGAATTTCACTGTTGACTGATTATTGAGATGATGAGAGTTTATCCATTACTTACAGAAATTCTCCCAGTTCTTCATGTGTCAGTCTAAGTTTTTTATAACAGCGGTCAGCAAACTCTTTTTGTAAAGGGCCAGATTGTAAATATTTTTTTACCTTACAGGTCATATTGTCCCTTACGTATACCACTCAACTCTACTATTGTAGCTTGAAAGCAGCCATAGACAGTTCATAAGTGAATAGGTTTGGCTGTGTTCCAGTAAAAGTTTACAAAAACAAACAACAGGTTAGATTTGGACTGCAGGCCAGAGTTTATTTTACCTTTCCAGCTTCATATTCCACAATCTACAAATTGTAGCCAAAAATGGCTATATACTAGCCATTTCAGACCCTTCACAATTCTCTGAACATGATATACCATCTAATAGGACTCTGCTTTGGTTTATATTTTTCCCCATACCTGTACATCAGCCTTACTTCCTCCTTTCACCACTCCTTGCTCTAATTGTTCTTTGTAAATATCTTTTATATATTTTGTGTGCTGGTTGTTCACTACCTTCCTTTCCTTGTCCCGTGGCCCAATAGATTATTTACTCTCCACTCTTCTCTATGCTCTGGAAGTCTGAGTTGTCCTACATATTGCAGCATCCTGAGGTCCCTAGGCTAGCACTTGTTAGGGGTCAGCCAGTGGGAGTCACTGGCAGGAAATGAGAGGGTGGAGAGAGAGGTTGGGTTTTCCCATTTTCTCCCTGTTTAAATGTTGTGTTGTAGGCAGTAGCTGTCCCTAAATGATACAGCTCTTCTATGAGTCCAGCCTTCACAGGTGTGGTAATTCTATTTCTTTCCCTTGCCCTTTCAGCCTAGGAATGACAGAAATCTCTTACTGTTGTTAGTCTTTGAGGGCTTAAGTACCCTGGTTGTTCTGCCCATACACCTGTAAGAAGTCTTTTCAACAAGCCATTGGGGTAAATTTTTTTTTTTTTTTTTTTTTTTGCTAAAAATCTGACTAATGCAGCATATATCATAGTGGCTTGCTTGCTTGCTTGCTTTTCTTTCTTTCTTTCTTCTTATGTCCCACTTTACCAGTATTATTTTTTTTTAAAGAGCAGGGGGAGAAGCAGAGGGAGAGGGAGAAGCAGGCTCCCTGCCAAGCCAGGAACCCGATGTGGTGCTCGATCCCAGGACCCTGGGATCATGACCTGAGCTGAAGGCAGATGCTTAACCATCTGAGCCACCCAGGGGCCCCTTATAGTGGCTTTCAACCTTATGTTTCCTTGTACAAAAGAATGATACACTGTAGTTACCTTAGTAACTTTATGGCAGTAGCTATTTTGGTTAGGAAGGGGAGGAGGAGGGAAGGTGACTGTAGTTAGAAAAAAAAGTCCCATCAAGTGTTCTTTGATGTGCTCCTACCCTCACAAAGGAAAGTGCCCTCTTTCCCCCTGGGAAATTAGTACCTTGACATACTGTATTCTAAGTTGATCTTTAAAAATGACAGACACATTCTCATCTTAGGGCCTTTATACTTTGCTATTCCCTTAATCCTCACTTAACAACCTATTTAATAAATTATGAACATGCAAAAAAATTACTTCTGTACATTATGGTAATAGTTTTCATAATAATCATTAATCATTATTTTATTTTGCTTAAACTTATCAATAAAATTTTAATGTTTTACTTCAAAAAAAAAAAACAACCTATTTAATAATTCCTGTTTCTCTTTATCCTTTCACCCTGTTTTTTTTTTATTCATAGAATATATCAATTCCTGACATTCTATTATGTATTTATTTGTTTTCTGAATACTCCATTAGAGGGCAAGTTCTGTGAGATATCTTGTCTGTTTTGTTCAGTGTTGTTTTCTCATTATCTATATTTGGCACATAGTAAATGCCAGTAAGTACTTTTAGAATGAATGAGTGAATGTGTCTGGTTCACTCTTAGAGTGTGAACACATTAGGGAAAGGAACTGTGTTTTACTCACCTGTGTTTATCAGAGGATTAGCACACGATGCTTTAAAAATATTAAATGAATACACAAATGAGTGAGTGAATGTCCAGACAAATAATTCTCTTCTTGGTTTATTGTCTCCAAGTACATCCTAGTTTCTCCTCCTATAAAGTGCTAATGATGTCTTTTAAATTTAGGGGAATAACTGTACTAAAGTTTTCAATATTTTTTTACATATTTTATACATAAGGACCTAGAATCTTTTCATGGAAAGTGAAAGAGTATGATGAAAAAAATGAAAGGTTTTTCTAATGCTATGTTTTTATTTTTCAAAAGGAAGGCTCATTGTATCAGTTAAAGCTTAAGGAAAAAGATAATTCTTTAAGAATTATATCTGCAGTTATTGAAAGCATGAAGTACTGGCGTGAACATGCACAGAAAACTGTACTTCTTTTTGAAATATTGGGTAGGTATAGTACTTCAGAAAACCTCAGTAATACTATTTGGACAATAGTTTTGAATGTCTATAGGAATACCTAGGGGATCTGAAAAATAAAATTTGCAAAAGGAGATTATGGTTTATGAGGATTTTCTTCACTTCCTGGATTTGTTATTGATTTGTGTGACTTAAGATATATTTGGTTATTTATGGTAGTATTCTTCTGATTCATAATGTTAAAATGTGGAAGACTGTTACAGGGGCTCTGACTTAACCCCTGAGTTGGATAGGGCCAGAAGTTTTGTTTTTCTTAGTATAAAACAGCTTCAGAGATACTATTCCCTCTTAAGATGTTGTCTTTATTATTGTATAAATAAAACTAGAAGAGCTTGGTGTAGGAATAAATATTACTTCTCACTGTTAAATTTTATTTGCATTTTACCAACACTGATTTTCTCCCCTATTTTAATGTTGTTTAGCTGTTCTCGATTCAGCTGTTACACCTGGTCCATATTATTCAAAGACTTTCCTTATGAGAGATGGGAAAAATACTCTGCCTTGTGTATTTTATGAAATAGTGAGTATTTGTTTAAATATTCTTTGCAAAGCCTGTGCCAACAAAACATGCAAATGCGGGCTACAGTTCCATTGTAGTAGAAATTCTGTTAACAATTTGGTAATACTTTCAAAATTCTGTTTGGTTTTAGTTCTGACTTATAAAAGTTTATTTGTTCAGGGGCGCCTGGGTGGCTAAGTTGGTTAAGCGGCAGCCTTCGGCTCAGGTCATGATCCTGGGGTCCTGGGATCGAGCCCCGCATTGGGCTCCCTGCTCTGCCCGAAGCCTGCTTCTCCCTCTCCCTCTGCCTGCCTCTCTGCCTACTTGTGCTCTCTCTCTCTCTATCTCTCTGTCAAATAAATAAATAAAATCTTTAAAAAAAAAGTTTATTTGTTCAGCTAATATAGATAACCTACTATGTGCCAGGTGCTGTGCTAGATGCAAGGGATACAAAGTGGAATGTAAGTGCTAAACAGCTCTTTCTCTCAAAGAGTTTATTATGATTTCAGATAGAAAGAGTTACATAAGTGTTACACTGTGGTATGATAAATGGTAGGTAGAGGTATGTACAGTGTGCTATAAAAGTAGATAGGAAGGATGGGGCAGATCAGAGAAAGATTTTTGAAGAATGTAGTAACTTATCTTACGTATTTAAAGAGGAATAAATGAAGCCAAAGTGTGTTGGGAGAGGGGAGAGGTGGGAGGAATGCATTCTTAGGTGAGAGGGCAGCATATGCAAGGACATGAAGCTGAGAGCATAGATTGTAGAGGAAACTGCAAGTAGTTAATAATCACCAGAGTGGGAAGGATAGTGGTTCTGAAGTTGGAGGAAGGCAGGGAGTGGGCTGGAATATAGGAAAGACTCTTGGTGACAAAGGAGGCTGCAGGTGACAAAGGAGGCTGGAGATTTTGTAAAACTTATATGCTTTGTAGAAGAGTTCGGTATTAATTCTGAAATTGTCCTTAATTCTGAAATCAGGCTTGGATTCCAGTTTTACTCCACCATTTACTAGCTATATGACCTTGAATAAGCTGCTTAAATTTCCTGAGTTTTTTTAACCTGTAAAATGGGGAGACTAATTCCTACTTTGAAAAGTTGTTATGGAGGTTAGATAATAAAATATATGAATGTACATCTTCTGATACATAGATGATCAAGAAATAGTAATTATATTATTAATTTCTATAATATCTTTAATGCTTATTTTTTCTAGTCTGTTAAGTTTATAAAAATCTTTTATTGAAGTATAACATATACCTAAAAGTTTACAAATCATAATTGTACAGTTCTATGAAGTACCTATGAAATATCACAAAGTGAACATTACTAAGGCTAAGAAATAAAACATTGCTGTCACCCTATGCATCCTGTGTCTCCTCCCATTCACTACCTCCTGTCTCCTACCTAAAAACAACTACTATCCTGACTTTTAATATCACAAATTAATTGTTTAGTTTTGAACCTTATATAAATAGTATTATATGGTATGTCTTTTATGTCTTTCCCTCAACACAATGTTTGTAAGATTCATCATGTTGTCTCATGTAGCTGTAGTCCATTTATTTATATTTCCATGTACAATATTCTATCGTAACACAATTTAGCTTTCTATTCTGCTGGTGGCATCCAAGTTTCCAGATTTTTTGCTGTTATGAATAATGTTCTATGAATATTCTTGTATATGTCTCTTGTGCATATGCACACATTTCTGTTGAGCATATACCTAGAAGTAAAATCACTGCATCATAGTGCATGTGTATGTTCCAGTATAGTAGTTATTTACCAAAGAATTTTCCAAAGGTTTGTACTTTACACTCTCACAATCAGTGTAGACGAGTTACAGTTTTTCTGCATTCCTATCAACACTTAGTACTGTCAGTCTTTTTTATTTCAGCTATGTGGGTGTTTAGTGCTATCTTACTTTTCTACAGTTCCCTGGTGACTAATGAGGTCAGACACCTTATATGTTTACTGGCTACTTAGATACCTTCTTCTGTAAAGTCTGTTCAGGCCTCTTGTTCTTTTTTTTTCTATTATTGTTTTATCCTTACTGATTTATTGGAGGGTTTTTTTCATGTGACTATTTTGGGTACAAGTTGTTCATCCATTATTTGTATTACAAATTTTTTCTCATACTCCATAGTTTGCTTTTTTAGTCTTAATGATGGATTTTTAGGAATAGAAATTCTTCTTTTTAATATAGTCTTTTTAGCAATTATCAGTACTACCTTTTGTAGCTAGTGCTTTTTATGACCATTTGGTGAAAGCAATTCCAGAATACGTACCTTTAGTTAATGATTGAGAGGATTTGATGCTGGCTGGTCTTCTTCCATTTTACTAGTCCCATGAAAGGCATAGCCCTTTTGGGTCCCAACCCTAAGCCAGGGGTGAGGATGGGAATGGTGACCAGAATCTCTTTTCCTTGGGAGCCTCTGATTCCATTTTTTTATCTCCCAGTCCTAGGAGCCTGTCAAAAGCTCTGCTCAGTTTCTTAGGCTCTCAACTGCCTTGACTATTCTTGACAGATAATCTCAAGGGGGGAAACATCCCTAAATGTCAAGCCCCACTTTGGACTCCTGCCCTCTCCCAGATGGGAGTCTCTCTACTCCCTCACTGCATTGGTATCTCTCTAATGTCTACAAGGAGATTTAAAAATATTTCATCCAGCTATTCTAGTTGTTCTTAGCTAGAGAGTTGGTCTGAACTACCTGTCTGCTGTCTACTGGAAGTGGAACTCCAGCAGTCTAATAAAGTGAATAATTCATGTGCCATTACACTGGGAGTTATTCAGTCTTTTAAGAAGCAACAGCTCACCAGCTTGAAAGAAGTCCTACCCAAGTGAAGGTCTTTCCTCTGTGATAGGGCACCCATATATGCCTAGCTATCATGGTCTTACCAGCGGTGGGGCCCTAAATCAGGTGAGGGAATTACAGCTTTTTGGGGTGATTCATATTTAATTGGTCATATGATTAGTTTTAAAAAACTGAAATTCAGATGAAGTAAAAAAATAACTTCTTTGATATTTATTTTTTTAAAAACAGGATCGTGAACTTCCGAGACTGATTAGAGGCCGAGTTCATAGGTGTGTTGGAAACTATGACCAGAAGAAGAATATTTTCAAATGTGTTTCTGTTAGACCAGCATCTGTTTCTGAACAAAAAACTTTCCAAGCATTTGTTAAAATTGTAGATGCTGAGATGAGGTATTATACTGATACAACGAATGAAATTTAAGTAGTGATAAGGGAAGTTTAAATAGTATAATTTAAAGCATTTTCCTATTATTGTTTAAATGATCATCTCCATGGTTATAGCTGCTGTTCTTTTGTATTTCATTTGTTGAATTAAAATATTTCAATCCTTTTAAATGTGGACACGAGTTTTTTTTTTATGAAAATGGTACATTTGCTAAAATTAACCATTTCTAGATACAAATGCTCAAAATAATAGGAATAGATGCTTATTTAACATGATGTAATAATATCTTTGAGTCAGCCCAAAAGCCAACATCAAGCTTAATGGGGAAATATAGAGACATTCTCACTAAAATCAGGAATAAGACAAGGGTGCCCACTATCAGTACAGTTACTAAGCATTATACTGGAGCTACTAATCTATGCAGTTCATTTAATCATTTCAAATATTTAGTGAGCATATGTAATATATATATTTATGTATATATTTATATATAATTTGCATTTAATTCTCTATTTCCTTATATCTGTCCTTCTAAAATGCATTTGCACTCTGGTCTTTCCTCTCTACATCCTCTCCCTGCCTTCATTTTAAGATCTCAATTGCTTACCACTCTATGAAACAAACAAGTGGAGAATGATTGTCTCCAGCTTCAAAAACAATCAATCAAGATGGAAGAATCCCTTGGAAGGTATATGAAAGGAGGATGATAGCAGGTTTTTTTCTGGCTTTGCAGTTACTGCCTTATACCAAAGATTCAGTTGTGATGGCAGTTGGGAGATGACATCCAGAAAGATTGGTGTACACTTCTATAGAATATGGTATATACTTTGAACCAAGAACCCATATATGGTGCTATTTCTCCCATAGCCATGATTTAGGAATCTGGGAATCGAGAGGTGGTAGCAGGACTGACTCTTGTCATTATTAGACCAAATAATATACTCATAAAATTTTTGCTTCCCTGACAATTTTAGGCTGCTTGTTTAGAGAGCTTACTTTCTGTTGTAGTCTGGGTTGCTCAAAATGTAGACAAAATCTTATTATTTGCTAGTAGTTTATTTGGGACTGTTACCTCACAGGAAGAGACAGAGGGATGTAAATAGCCAAGAAAGTACCAATAACTGGGGTGGCTTATTAAGTTGGCTACTACTGGTGTGAATAAGGCTTGATGAAATGCATCATAGAACCGTCCACCTGAGTGAAAATGGGGAGCATATATTCCTTAGCTCCCTACCACTTGTTTTTTTAAGGGTTGGAGCATGGGTCCCGAACTCCCATTTTCAGTGTGTATGTATCAGTATTGAACTGGCTACCAGTGATATTCTACTCCATGGAAGCAGAAAAACCCTATGACAGGATGCAATAAGCAGGTGGAGCAGGCCTGAGGTAAAACAGTTAGATTGTATCTCTGTGAAGCTGATCGAAGTCTGCAGAACTGGTTACTGCAGCTGTAGCTGGAATAAAAGAAGATGTCTGAGAGAATCTGAAGTGGGGCACAAGAAGTTTCTGGTACAGCTCCTCAGGAATGTTTCTACCAGGATTGCTTTAATGGTTCTATTCTACAGGAAGCTGAGACTGCCACTTGACCATTTTAGTTTTTTGTGTGTGTTACTGAACCAACAGGCAAAGAAATGAGTTACCATACTATCTGGGGTAATTCAATCCAAATTAACAATAGAAAATTGGATTTCTCTACACAATGTGGAAAGACCATGCCTGATATCCAGGAGTACTCTTTGGAGTACTCCTTAGTAAAAGTTAATGGTAAACTATAGTAACCCAATAAAGACATTAACACTGAGGATTCAGACTCCCAAGGAATGAAAGTTGAATGTAAAGAAACATATGTATTTCAGAATGTAAAGCTGAAGTGATACACATAGAGGAAATAAGGAAGAAGGAGTTATAAATATTACCTATGGCCTTATGATCAATACAGAGTAAGAAACAGCTGGAAATGAGGTAATCTGACACAGGAGAGTGGTGGCAGGGTGCTATTAAGGCTTCCTACAGAGGTAAGAAGCTAAACACACCTCAATGGAATGAAAATCTGGGCTTCTTTTCTATCTCTGCTTGAGGAAAAATTGAAAATAATCTGGGAGAATTCTCTTTTATTCTAGTACTTTCTATGCATCTGCATATGCTTGGGTCATAGAGATCTGATCTTTGTTTGCTGCAGGTTTATCTCTCTCCTTGAGTATGTTTATGAGAAACTGGATCATGGTGAGAGATTATGGCACCCTGGCAATCTTTCCAAAATATGTGTCTTTCATGGCACTTTGTTCAAAAACCACTGATGACTTCTTGCCCACAAGATAAATCCTCTTACACTGTAAGATATTTTAGGATATTCATGGCCTGGTCCCTGTTCCTTTCTATGGCTTCTCCAACCATTCTCCTTCACCTACCAAAATGTGGGCTCTAGCCCCATGGGACTACTGTCCATTCCCTAAACAGGCAGTGATTAAGCATCCATATATGAACTTCTCTCCTTCCTCACTTTCCCCCAATATAGTCAGGTGTGACCAGTGATGTAATAGTCACTGCTCCAGGACTCAGAGCATTTGTCCTAAGGGTCCTGGGTAATTTCTGTGTCTTTAATGAGTTCCTTTAGGACCTAGGCTCCTCTGGGATCCAGGGCCCCCCAGGCCCAGGGATGTGTAGAACAGGACATGTGAGAAGGAATATTACAGACACAGGTGACAACTACAGAGGCTGTCGCTTCACATGTCTCGATAAATAAGGGGAAACGGGACCTTAGGTTAGGTGCTGGAGTCACCCTCAGACACACTGGGTAAGTTGGGCAGAGAGGGAATGAGCTGGTACCTTAGGTCCTTCCAACCCAAGGACCTTGCTTTCCCAGGTTGTGTGACGTTCTGCAGGATAGTTCTTCAGGTATGATAATCCTCGTCGTCTTCACCTCCCTGCATCCTGAGACTTCCCCACATTCTGGAACTATTTTGACTGATGTTCACAACAGTTGCATTTAGTCTTTTTTTAATGATAGCATTAATAAATATTGCTATATAAGGCCTCAAGTGTAGAAATTACCTTTATTTCTTCCTTTTCTCCCCAAATTACTAAATCTCAAGATCCATCAGATTCATTTTTTTTTACAGCAATATCGCTGAATCCTGTGGATATAACACAAGGAAATAGTGATGGTGTGGATGTATACTGGGTTGTCTGTTTAGGTTAAAGAGCAGTGTAGTTGAAGGTCAGATTTTCCATGAGTTAGAGGTTATGTCAGGGAATTCTATAATAAAGTGTCAAAAAGTAAGTTTTTGTTCTAAGATGGTTATTTAAGAAGTAGATATTCTAATAAGAGTTTGCTGTCTCTAAAGTTGAAGGAATGCATGTCTCAGCCTGAAGCACAGCCAGTAAATATTTATGAAACATTGGCTATATCCAGGCACTGAGCCAGGTGCTGACACTTCTGCAGTCATGAAGGCAGACGTGGCCTTTCCTGCATGTTTACAATGCAATAGGGAGAACAGCTGGAAACAATCCCCTGGGCATTTAGTGTCTTAGGGACAAGTACAGGATGCTAGGGAAACATAGTAGCAGGTTCTCACCTGGTCTGAGGAGTGGGGACAGGAGAGATACAGCTGAGTAAGTGACATGGAATATGGCTGAAGGGTGAGTAGGAGCAAACAGGGGAAGAGGAAGCAGAGGGAGGAAGATGCTAGGCAGGGGTGGGACAGCAAGTAGAAAAGGCTGGAAGCAAGAAATTGTGCCTTTCAAGTCCAGCATTTCTGGAGAGGTAACTGTGAGTGTCACTATGGGGCCAGGTGAAGCTGTGGAAGTCGGCAAGGGTCAGGTCATGAAGCACCTTTTGTGCAATTCCTTTGAAAGGAATTTTGCCTTTATCTTTTTTTTTTAAGATTTTATTTGAGAGAGAGAAGTGAGAGAGAACAAGCAGGGGGGAGAGGCAGAGGGAGAAGCAGGCTCCCCGTGGAGCAAGGAGCCCGATGAAGGACTCAATCCCAGGACTCTGGGATCATGACCCGAGCCAAAGGCAGATACTTAACTGGCTGAGCCACCCAGGCGTCCCCTGCCTTTTATCTTAAGAGCCATGAGAATCCATGAAGGCATCAGGAAGGATGACGATCAGATTTTCATCTTAGAATGCCACATTGTGAATGAAGTATATTGAAGGAGAGAGTGGGTTTGTTTGTTTTTTTTTAAGATTTTATTTATTTGAGAGAAGAGAGTGTGAGAGAGAGGGCACGAGAGGGGTGGAGGGTCAGAGGGAGAAGCAGACTCCCCACTGAGCAGGGAGCCTGATGTGGGGCTCTATCCCAGGACCCTGGGATCATGACCTGAGCCGAAGGCAGATGCTTAACGGACTGAGCCACTCAGGCGTCCCAAAGGAGAAAGTGTTCAAGTGTGGAAGCAGAGAGATGAGTGAAGAGAGAAGAACCTGTTCCAATAGTACAGATAAGACATGATGTCAGCCCAGCCAGGATAGTGATGCAACCAGATAAGGAGTGGATGAATGAAAAAGAGGTTTAATGTGGCAGAAACTGTAGGATGTGTTGACAGATTGGATATTGAGGATAAGAGAAAGGACAGAAGGAAAGAAAACTCAGGTGTATGAGTTGTGCCTGGATTTCTTTTACTGAGATGTGAGAGACTTGGAGGCACAGATTGGGAGAAGGGCAGGGTGAGATCGTGAGTTTTATTTGTGATTTATTGAACCAAAGATGCTTGTGATTTTATCTGAAGAGATAATCACTAAGCAATTGATACAGTTTCTGACATGATAGAGGTTTATCAATGAGATTTATATGGTGATTTATGCCATGGGAATAGGCCATTCTTTTAGGGCTGCATATGTAGCACTATAAGAGAACAGTATTTAGGAAAAAGCCTAAGGAAACACCAATATATAAGATACTGTTATAGAAGACACCAATCACAGTTACTGAGAATGAAGGGCTGAGAACCGGGATGATTGCACAGAAGATAAGAGATGAGAGTGTTTCAGAAGGGAAGGAAGAGTCAATATTGTTAAATGGTAATGAATGAGAGATGAAAAAAAAGTCTGAAAGTGATTGGATTTAGTGATTTGTTATATTTGTGGTTACAAAATGTTCCGGATAATGAGGGTGAAATCAATTATTGCAGAACAAATTACCATGTATCATAGAAATATGTTTATTTTTATTCAGGTTTATAATGGACACTATTATCTCCTCCTAAAGATACTGAAGACAGAGCATGACAGAAAAGAATCAAACTGTCATCTCAGAATTTGTCCTCCTGGGTCTGCCGATTTATCCAGATCAGCGAGACCTGTTCTATGCCCTGTTCCTGGCCATGTATGTTACCACCATCCTGGGGAACCTTCTCATCATTGTCCTCATTCGCCTGGACTCCCACCTCCACACGCCCATGTATTTGTTTCTCAGCAATTTGTCTTTCTCTGATATCTGTTTCTCTTCTGTGACCATTCCCAAGTTGTTGCAAACCATGCAGAGCCAAGACTCATCCATCCCCTATGCTGGCTGCCTGACCCAGATGTACTTCTTCCTGTTTTTTGCTGACCTAGAGAGCTTCCTCCTGGTAGCCATGGCCTATGACCGCTATGTGGCCATCTGCTTCCCTTTGCACTACACCACCATCATGAGCCCCAAGCTCTGTCTCTCCCTGGTGGTGCTTTCCTGGGTGCTGACCATGTTCCATGCTATGCTACACACTCTGCTCATGGCCAGATTGTGGTTTTGTGCAGACAACACAATCCCCCACTTTTTCTGTGATATGTCTGCTCTGCTGAAGCTGGCCTGCTCTGACACTCGAGTTAATGAGTTGGTGATATTTATCATGGGAGGGCTCATTCTTGTCACCCCCTTCCTCCTCATCATCATGTCTTATGCACGGACTGTGTCCTCTATCCTCAAGTTCCCTTCTGCTAAGGGTATTCACAAAGCCTTCTCCACCTGTGGCTCCCACCTCTCTGTGGTGTCTCTCTTCTATGGGACAGTTATTGGTCTCTACTTATGCCCATCAACTAATAATTCTACTGTTAAGGAGACTGTCATGGCTATGATGTACACTGTGGTCACCCCCATGCTGAACCCCTTCATCTACAGCCTGAGGAACAGAGACATGAAGGGAGCCCTAGGAAGAGTTCTTTTCAAGAAGAAAACTTCCTTCCTTGTATAATGGCAAAGCTGGGGATTTTTACATAATTTTATCAAGTAGATACATTGATATTAATATAGGAATTTTGACCCAGGCTTTTTTTCACTATGAAATTTTCTGTTAAAATGACATACTGTTCTGTTCCATTGATCTATGTGTCTGTTTTTGTGCCGATATTATGCTGTCTTGATTATCACAGCTTTGTAATATAGCTTGAAGCAGGTATTGTGATGCCCCCAGGTTTGGTTTTCTTTTTCAACATTCCCTGGTGATTCAGGGTCTTTTCTGGTTCCATACAAATTTTAGGATTGTTTGTTCCAGCTCTGTGAAAAATCTCAATGGTATTTTGATAGGGATTGCATTGAAAGTGTAGATTGCTCTGGTAGCATAGACATTTTAACAATGTTTTTTTCTTCCAATCCATGAGCATGGAATGTTTTTCCATCTTTTTGTGTCTTTCTCAATTTCTTTCATAAATGATCTGTAGTTTCTACAGTATAGATCCTTTACCTCTTTGGCTAGGTTTATTCCTAGGTATCTTATGGTTTTTGGTGCTATTGTAAATGGAATCAATTCTTTAATTTCTCTTTCTTCAGTTACATTGTTAGTGTATAGAAATACAACTGATTTCTGTGCATTGATTTTGTATCCTGCCACATTGCTGAATTGCTGTATGAGTTCTAGTAATTTTGGGGTGGAGTCTTTTGGGTTTTCCACATAAAGTATCACATCATCTGCGAAGAGAGAGAGTTGACTTCTTCTTTGCCAATTTTAATGCCTTTTATTTCTTTTTGTTGTCTGATTGCTGAGGCTAGGACTTCTAAAACTATGTTGAACAAATGTGGTGAGAGTGGGCATCCCTGTGGTGTTCCTGACCTTAAGGGAAAGGCTCTCAGGTTTTCCCCATTGAGAATATTCATTGTGGGCTTTCCATAGATGGCTTTTATGATACCAGAAGTGGACCCTCAATTCTATGGTCAACTAATCTTTGACAAATCAGGAAAGAATATCTAGTAGAAAAAAGACAGTCTCTTCAATAAATGGTGCTGGGAGAATTGGACAGCCACATGCAGAAGAACGAAACTGGACCATTCTGTTACATCATGCACAAAGATAAAGTCAAAATGGATGAAAGACCTCAATGTGAGACAGGAATCCATCAAAATCCTAGAGAAGAACATAGGCAGTAACCTCTTTGACATTGGCACAGTGGCTTCTTTCAAGACACATCTCTAAAGGCAAGGGAAACAAAAGCAAAAATGAACCTCTGGAATTTCATCAAGAGAAAAAGTTCTGCACAGCAAAGGAAACAGTCAACAAAACTAAGGCAATCCATGGAATGGGAGAAGATATTTGCAAATGACATTACAGATAAAGGACTGGTATCCAAGATCTATAAAGAACTTACCAAACTCAACACCTGAAAAAACAACAACAACAACAACAGCAAACAAATAATCCAGTAAAGAAATGGGCAGAAGACATGAACAGACACTTCTCCAAAGAAGACATACAAATGGCTAACAGATATGAAAAAATGAGTTCAACATCACTAGCCATCAGGGAAATACAAATCAAAACCACAATGAGATACCACCTTACAACAGTTAAAATGGCAAAAATTAACAAGACAGTAAACAACAAATGTTGGCAAGGATGTGGAGAAAGGGGAACCCTCTTATACTGTTGTTGGGAATGCAAGCTGGTATAGCCACTTTGGAAAACAGTATGGAGGTTCCTCAAGACGTTAAAAATAGAGCTACCCTATGACTCAGTGATTGCACTTCTAGGTATTTATCCCAAAGATACAGATGTAGTGAAAAGGGGCACATGCACCCCAATGTTCATAGCAGTGATGTCCACAATAGCCAAACTGTGGAAGGAGCCGAGATGTCCTTTAACAGATGAATGGATAAAGAAGATGTGGTTCATATACACAATGGAATATTACTCAGCCACCAGAAAGGACGAATACCTACCATTTGCATTGACATGGATGGAACTGGAGGGGATTATGCTAAGTGAAATAAGACAAGCAGAGAAAGACAATTATCATATGGTTTCACTCATATGTGGAACATAAGGAATAGCGCAGAGAACCATAGAGGAAGGGAGGGAACTCTGAATGGGAAGAAATCAGAGAGGGAGACAAACCATGAGAGACTCTGGACTCCAGGAAACAAACTGAGGGTTACAGAAGGGAGGGGGTGGGGGAAAGGAGTAACTGGGTGATGGATATTAAGGAGCGCATGTGTTGTGATGAGCACTGGGTGTTAGACGCAGCTAATGAATCATTGAACACTGCATCAAAAACGAATTATGGCAAAAAAAGTGCGAATTATATACTATATGTTGGCTAATTGAACATAATATAAATAAATAATAAATAAAATGACATACTAAATAATTGTTCAATACGTAAAAGAAGTGGAGTTACGTAGTTGCACTCAGAAAGGGGATCTCAGTGACCTGCCAACAAGGTCTTTCTGTTTGTTATTCCCAGGTGACTCTGAAGAAGCATTATTTTTAAACTTTTAATTGATCTTCCTGTCTCCAGTTGTTAAACAACTAATATATCATGCGCTTATTTTTTTAACTAAAACTCTGCTCTCCGAGGTCAATATTGACTAAAACTCAAGCATCTCACCCCTCTGCTTACCTCTGATAAAATTGGACTTTCATCATTGAATGCAGACTTTTACTTACCTCTTCCCGAACAAGGGTTTGCATTATTCTGTCTCTTAACCTTTTCTCCTCTGATTTATCTTCATGTCTACATTGTCTTTTTGACCTGACCTGAACCTAAAGTGGACTTTCTATCTCATTTGCTACAATAGTTTAGTTTGTCTTTACCTGGGAGTTAACGCATACCTAGGACCTTACAGGTTACTCCCACAGGTATGGGAAAGCCAGAGCCTTGTTAACAGCCTTACTGTTTTGTTTTTTTTTTTAATTTTTTTATTCTTAGTTAATCCCCTTACATTACAACATTAGTTTTAGATGAAGTGTTCCATGATTCATTGTTTGTGCACAACACCCAGTGCTCCATGCAGAATGTGCCCTCCTAAATACCCACCACCAGGCTAACCCATCCTCCCACCCCCCTCCCCTCTAGAACCCTGTTTGTTTTTCAGAGTCCATCGTCTCTCATGGTTCGTCTACCCCTCCGATTTCCCCCGCTTCATTCTTCCCCTCCCGCTACCTTCTTCTTCTTCTTCTTCTTTTTTTCTTAACATATATTGCATTATTTGTTTCAGAGGTACAGATCTGAGATTCAACAGTCTTGCACAATTCACAGCGCTTACCAGAGCACATACACTCCCCAGTGTCTATCACCCAGTCCCCCCATCCCTCCCACCCCACCCCCCACTCCAACAACACTCAGTTTGTTTCCTGCGATTAAGAATTCCTCATATCAGTGAGATCATAGGATACATGTCTTTCTCTGTTTGACTTATTTCACTCAACATAATACCCTCCAGTTCCATCCACGTCGTTGCAAATGGCAAGATCTCATTCCTTTTGATGGCTGCATAATATTCCATCGTATATATATACCACATCTTCTTTATCCATTCATCTGTCGATGGACATCTTGGCTCTTTCCACAGTTTGGCTATTGTGGACATTGCTGCTATAAACATCGGGGTGCACGTACCCCTTCGGATCCCTACTTTTGTATCTTTGGGGTAAATACCCAGTAGTGCAATTAACAGCCTTACTGTTTAAGGGTGTCTCCCTCCTGCTTAGTATTTTGGAATTTTTTTTTTTTTAGATTTTATTTATTTATTTGACAGAGAAAGAGAGATAGTGAGAGCAGGAATACAAGCAGGGGGAGCGGGAGAGGGAGAAGCAGGCTTCCTGCCGAGCAGGGAGCCCAATGTGGGACTCGATCCCAGGACCCTGGGACCATGACCTGAGCCGAAGGCAGACGCTTAATGACTGAGCCACCCAGGCACCCGAGTATTTTGGAATTTTTAAACAAATTTTACATCCATGATCTTACTCTACTCTTATGATGATTCCACAAAGGAATCTTACCACCATCTTAAAAATTGAAAATGTGGAATTTGATGACTTGCCAAAGTCCCAGAATTGGTCAATATTGAGCTTAATTTCTCAGGCTAATTTTAGGGTTTCTTCTTCTCCTTTTCCCCCACCTCAGAAATAAGGGGAGAAACCATTGATTTTTCAGTCTTAACCCCATGCATGGCATTGTCTAGAATTCCAACTTTGGGTGGTTTGTTTCCTATTGTCTCCCCAAGGTGATGGCATCTAAATCCATTATTTTAATCCTTTCATATATTCTGCTTACCGCCACATCTCTATCTGCAGATCTTTCACCAGTTTCCAATTTTTATTTTCATCTTCACAGTAGACATCTCCCCTTGATGCTCTATGAGCACTTCAATCTTAACCTGCAAAAAAAAAAAAAAAAGAACTCTGTATTTTCCCCAAGCTTTCACTGTGCTTATACTCCATTTGTTGTTTAGCTTTACAGAAGTGTAAGTGATAAAAATTGCATACATTTAATGTATACATCGTGATGAGTTTAGACTTATGCATACACCCATGATACTATCACCACAACCAAGATATTACCTATATCCCTTATCTCCAAGGATTTCCTTGTGTTCTTTTGTGGTTTTACTTTTATTTTCTTTTTTGATAAGAACACTTAACATGAAATCTATCCTCTTAACATATTTTAGAGTGTACAATACCATATTATTGACTGTAGGTACTATATTGTACATCAGATCTTTAGAACTTACTCATCTTATGTAACAGAAATGTATTATACCCACTGAGAAACCAATTCTCCATTTCCTCCTCCCTGTGGCCCCTGACAAGCACTATTCAATTTTTCTTGTCTGTGAGTGTGACTATTTTATTTTTTATTTATTTATTTTGTATTCTTATGTTAATCCCCATACATTACATCATTAGTTGTGAGTGTGACTATTTTAGATACCTCATATCTAAAATGGAATCATGCAGTATTTGTCCTTCTGTGAGTGGGTTTTTTCACTTAGCATAATGTCCTTTAGGTTCATCCATGTTGTCGCGAATATTAAGGTTTCTTTCTTTTTAAAGGCCGAATGATATTCCATTGTATGTATATGCTACATTTTCTTTTTTTTTTTTTTTTTTTTTTTTTAATTTTTTTATTCTTATGTTAATCCCCTTACATTACAACATTAGTTTTAGATGAAGTGTTCCATGATTCATTGTTTGTGCATAACACCCAGTGCTCCATGCAGAATGTGCCCTCCTAAATACCCACCACCAGGCTAACCCATCCTCCCACCCCCCTCCCCTCTAGAACCCTGTTTGTTTTTCAGAGTCCATCGTCTCTCATGGTTCGTCTACCCCTCCGATTTCCCCCGCTTCATTCTTCCCCTCCCGCTACCTTCTTCTTCTTCTTCTTTTTTTTTTTTTCTTAACATATATTGCATTATTTGTTTCAGAGGTACAGATCTGAGATTCAACAGTCTTGCACAATTCACAGCGCTTACCAGAGCACATACACTCCCCAGTGTCTATCACCCAGTCCCCCCATCCCTCCCACCCCACCCCCCACTCCAACAACACTCAGTTTGTTTCCTGCGATTAAGAATTCCTCATATCAGTGAGATCATAGGATACATGTCTTTCTCTGTTTGACTTATTTCACTCAACATAATACCCTCCAGTTCCATCCACGTCGTTGCAAATGGCAAGATCTCATTCCTTTTGATGGCTGCATAATATTCCATCGTATATATATACCACATCTTCTTTATCCATTCATCTGTCGATGGACATCTTGGCTCTTTCCACAGTTTGGCTATTGTGGACATTGCTGCTATAAACATCGGGGTGCACGTACCCCTTCGGATCCCTACTTTTGTATCTTTGGGGTAAATACCCAGTAGTGCAATTAACAGCCTTACTGTTTAAGGGTGTCTCCCTCCTGCTTAGTATTTTGGAATTTTTTTTTTTTTAGATTTTATTTATTTATTTGACAGAGAAAGAGAGATAGTGAGAGCAGGAATACAAGCAGGGGGAGCGGGAGAGGGAGAAGCAGGCTTCCTGCCGAGCAGGGAGCCCAATGTGGGACTCGATCCCAGGACCCTGGGACCATGACCTGAGCCGAAGGCAGACGCTTAATGACTGAGCCACCCAGGCACCCGAGTATTTTGGAATTTTTAAACAAATTTTACATCCATGATCTTACTCTACTCTTATGATGATTCCACAAAGGAATCTTACCACCATCTTAAAAATTGAAAATGTGGAATTTGATGACTTGCCAAAGTCCCAGAATTGGTCAATATTGAGCTTAATTTCTCAGGCTAATTTTAGGGTTTCTTCTTCTCCTTTTCCCCCACCTCAGAAATAAGGGGAGAAACCATTGATTTTTCAGTCTTAACCCCATGCATGGCATTGTCTAGAATTCCAACTTTGGGTGGTTTGTTTCCTATTGTCTCCCCAAGGTGATGGCATCTAAATCCATTATTTTAATCCTTTCATATATTCTGCTTACCGCCACATCTCTATCTGCAGATCTTTCACCAGTTTCCAATTTTTATTTTCATCTTCACAGTAGACATCTCCCCTTGATGCTCTATGAGCACTTCAATCTTAACCTGCAAAAAAAAAAAAAAAAGAACTCTGTATTTTCCCCAAGCTTTCACTGTGCTTATACTCCATTTGTTGTTTAGCTTTACAGAAGTGTAAGTGATAAAAATTGCATACATTTAATGTATACATCGTGATGAGTTTAGACTTATGCATACACCCATGATACTATCACCACAACCAAGATATTACCTATATCCCTTATCTCCAAGGATTTCCTTGTGTTCTTTTGTGGTTTTACTTTTATTTTCTTTTTTGATAAGAACACTTAACATGAAATCTATCCTCTTAACATATTTTAGAGTGTACAATACCATATTATTGACTGTAGGTACTATATTGTACATCAGATCTTTAGAACTTACTCATCTTATGTAACAGAAATGTATTATACCCACTGAGAAACCAATTCTCCATTTCCTCCTCCCTGTGGCCCCTGACAAGCACTATTCAATTTTTCTTGTCTGTGAGTGTGACTATTTTATTTTTTATTTATTTATTTTGTATTCTTATGTTAATCCCCATACATTACATCATTAGTTGTGAGTGTGACTATTTTAGATACCTCATATCTAAAATGGAATCATGCAGTATTTGTCCTTCTGTGAGTGGGTTTTTTCACTTAGCATAATGTCCTTTAGGTTCATCCATGTTGTCGCGAATATTAAGGTTTCTTTCTTTTTAAAGGCCGAATGATATTCCATTGTATGTATATGCTACATTTTCTTTTTTTTTTTTTTTTTTTTTTTTTTAATTTTTTTATTCTTATGTTAATCCCCTTACATTACAACATTAGTTTTAGATGAAGTGTTCCATGATTCATTGTTTGTGCATAACACCCAGTGCTCCATGCAGAATGTGCCCTCCTAAATACCCACCACCAGGCTAACCCATCCTCCCACCCCCCTCCCCTCTAGAACCCTGTTTGTTTTTCAGAGTCCATCGTCTCTCATGGTTCGTCTACCCCTCCGATTTCCCCCGCTTCATTCTTCCCCTCCCGCTACCTTCTTCTTCTTCTTCTTTTTTTTTTTTTTCTTAACATATATTGCATTATTTGTTTCAGAGGTACAGATCTGAGATTCAACAGTCTTGCACAATTCACAGCGCTTACCAGAGCACATACACTCCCCAGTGTCTATCACCCAGTCCCCCCATCCCTCCCACCCCACCCCCCACTCCAACAACACTCAGTTTGTTTCCTGCGATTAAGAATTCCTCATATCAGTGAGATCATAGGATACATGTCTTTCTCTGTTTGACTTATTTCACTCAACATAATACCCTCCAGTTCCATCCACGTCGTTGCAAATGGCAAGATCTCATTCCTTTTGATGGCTGCATAATATTCCATCGTATATATATACCACATCTTCTTTATCCATTCATCTGTCGATGGACATCTTGGCTCTTTCCACAGTTTGGCTATTGTGGACATTGCTGCTATAAACATCGGGGTGCACGTACCCCTTCGGATCCCTACTTTTGTATCTTTGGGGTAAATACCCAGTAGTGCAATTAACAGCCTTACTGTTTAAGGGTGTCTCCCTCCTGCTTAGTATTTTGGAATTTTTTTTTTTTTAGATTTTATTTATTTATTTGACAGAGAAAGAGAGATAGTGAGAGCAGGAATACAAGCAGGGGGAGCGGGAGAGGGAGAAGCAGGCTTCCTGCCGAGCAGGGAGCCCAATGTGGGACTCGATCCCAGGACCCTGGGACCATGACCTGAGCCGAAGGCAGACGCTTAATGACTGAGCCACCCAGGCACCCGAGTATTTTGGAATTTTTAAACAAATTTTACATCCATGATCTTACTCTACTCTTATGATGATTCCACAAAGGAATCTTACCACCATCTTAAAAATTGAAAATGTGGAATTTGATGACTTGCCAAAGTCCCAGAATTGGTCAATATTGAGCTTAATTTCTCAGGCTAATTTTAGGGTTTCTTCTTCTCCTTTTCCCCCACCTCAGAAATAAGGGGAGAAACCATTGATTTTTCAGTCTTAACCCCATGCATGGCATTGTCTAGAATTCCAACTTTGGGTGGTTTGTTTCCTATTGTCTCCCCAAGGTGATGGCATCTAAATCCATTATTTTAATCCTTTCATATATTCTGCTTACCGCCACATCTCTATCTGCAGATCTTTCACCAGTTTCCAATTTTTATTTTCATCTTCACAGTAGACATCTCCCCTTGATGCTCTATGAGCACTTCAATCTTAACCTGCAAAAAAAAAAAAAAAAGAACTCTGTATTTTCCCCAAGCTTTCACTGTGCTTATACTCCATTTGTTGTTTAGCTTTACAGAAGTGTAAGTGATAAAAATTGCATACATTTAATGTATACATCGTGATGAGTTTAGACTTATGCATACACCCATGATACTATCACCACAACCAAGATATTACCTATATCCCTTATCTCCAAGGATTTCCTTGTGTTCTTTTGTGGTTTTACTTTTATTTTCTTTTTTGATAAGAACACTTAACATGAAATCTATCCTCTTAACATATTTTAGAGTGTACAATACCATATTATTGACTGTAGGTACTATATTGTACATCAGATCTTTAGAACTTACTCATCTTATGTAACAGAAATGTATTATACCCACTGAGAAACCAATTCTCCATTTCCTCCTCCCTGTGGCCCCTGACAAGCACTATTCAATTTTTCTTGTCTGTGAGTGTGACTATTTTATTTTTTATTTATTTATTTTGTATTCTTATGTTAATCCCCATACATTACATCATTAGTTGTGAGTGTGACTATTTTAGATACCTCATATCTAAAATGGAATCATGCAGTATTTGTCCTTCTGTGAGTGGGTTTTTTCACTTAGCATAATGTCCTTTAGGTTCATCCATGTTGTCGCGAATATTAAGGTTTCTTTCTTTTTAAAGGCCGAATGATATTCCATTGTATGTATATGCTACATTTTCTTTACCCTTTTACCTGTTGATGGACATTTGGATTGTTTCCATATCGTGGCTATTGTAAATAATGCTGCAATGAACACAGGAGTAAAGATATCTTTTTGAGATCCTGATACCATTTCTTTGGGTATATATCTTCATTAGATATTTACAAATATTTTCTCCCATTCAATAGGATACCTTTTCATTCTGCTGTTTCCTTTGCTATACAGAAGATTTTTTTTAATCATAAATTTTTGGGCGCCTGGGTGGCTCAGTTCGTTAAGCGACTGCCTTCGGCTCAGGTCATGATCCTGGAGTCCCAGGATCGAGTCCCACACCAGGCTCCCTGCTCAGCAGGGAGTCTGCTCCTCCCTCTGACCCTCCTCCCTCTCATGTTCTCTGTCTCTCATTCTCTCTCTCGCAAATAAATAAAATCTTAAAAAAAAATCATAAGTTTTTAAAAGATTATTTATTTGAGAGAGAGAGAGCATGAGCAGGGGGAGGGGCAGAGGGGGAAGCATACTCCCCCCTGAGCAGGGAGGCTGATGCCATACTCGATCCCAGGACTCCAGGATCATGACCTGAGCTGAAGGCAGATGCTATGCAAAAGATTTTAAGATTCATGTAGCATTAAAAAGAATCAAATAGATCTATTTTCAAATCAGTTGGGTAAATAGCTAGGAGCATGACTGTTGTGCTGTATAGTAAGCCTATATTTGCCTTTATTAAAAAATTGCCATGGGGCGCCTGGGTGGCTCAGTCGTTGAGCATCTGCCTTCAGCTCAGGTCATGATCCCAGGGTCCTGGGATCGAGCCCTGCATTGGGCTCCCTGCTCAGCGAGAAGCCTACTTCTCCCTCTCCCACTCCCCCTGCTTGTGTTCCTGCTCTCACTGTCTCTCTCTGTCAAATAAATAAATAAAAACTTAAAAAAAAATTGCCAAATGTCTTCCAAAGTGGTGTGCCATTTTGAATTGAGTTACTTTAATTTTCACAACTTAAATATAATTTTTCAGATTCTTTCCTTTGTTTCCCAAGCTGGTAGTTAGGAAGTCTCACTCATAAGACAAAGAGCACTGGCTTTGCTATCCGATCTGAGTGTAAATCCTGACTCCAAAAACTTAAAAACCATTTCTTTTTTTTTTTAATTTAAATTCAGTTACTTAACATATAATGTATTATTTGTTTCAGGAGTATGTGATTCATCCGTCTTTTTTTTTTTTTCCCCAGGGAAGATATTTTTATTGACTGATTTAAATTTTTGGACATTTTCATGTAACTTCATTTGCAGGTGGTAAATAAACAAAATTAGATTTTGTTTTCTAACCTCAAAAGAAGGACATGTGAATGCAGTGGTCAAAAGAGTGTCGACACTGAGTGGGATCCACAGTTCAAATCTTAGCTTCACAATTTTGCAGCTGTGATTCATCCATCTTATATAATACCCAGTGCTCATTACAACACATACCCTCCCCAATGTCCATCACCCAGTAACCCCATCCCTCCACCCCCTCTCCCTTTTGGCAACCCTCAGCTTGTTTCCTATGATTAAGAGTCTCTTATGGTTTGTCTCCCTCTCTGGTTTCATCTTGTTTTATTTTTTTCTTTCACCCCTATGATTCTCTGTCTTGTTTCTTTCTTTTTTTTTTTCAATTCTTATATTAATCCCCATACATTACATCATTAGTTTTAGATGAAGTGTTCCATGATTCATTGTTTGTGCATAACAGCCAGTGCTCCATGCAGAATGTGCCCTCCTCAATACCCACCACCAGGCTAAACCATCCTCACACCCCCTCCCCTCTAGAACCCTCAGTTTGTTTTTCAGAGTCCATCGTCTCTCATGGTTCGTCTACCCCTCCGATTTCCCCTGCTTCATTCTTCCACTCCCGCTACTTTCTTCTTCTTTATTTTTTCTTAACATACATTGCATTATTTGTTTCCGAGGTACAGATCTGAGATTCAACAGTCTTGCACAATTAACAGCACTTAGCAGAGCACATACCCACCCCAGTGTTTATCACCCAGTCACCCCATCCCTCCCACCCCACACCCCACTCCAGCAACCCTCAGTTTGTTTCCTGCAATTAAGAATTCCTCATATTAGTGAGATCATATGATACATGTCTTTCTCTGTTTGACTTATTTCATTCAACATAATACCCTCCAGTTCCAATCACATTGTTGCAAATGGCAAGATCTCATTCCTTTTGATGGCTGCATAATATTCCATTGTGTATATATACCACCTCTTCTTTATCCATTCATCTGTCGATGGACATCTTGGCTCTTTCCACAGTTCGGCTATTGTGGACATTGCTGCTATAAACATCGGGGTGCACGTACCCTTTCGGATCCCTACTTTTGTATCTTTGGAGTAAATACCCAGTAGTGCAATTGCTCGATCATATGGTAGCTCTATTTTCAACTTTTTGAGGAACATCCATACTGTTTCCAGAGTGGCTGCACCAGCTTGCATTCCCACCAACAGTGTAGGAGGGTTCCCCTTTCTCCGCATCCCCGCCAACATCTGTCATTTCCTGACTTGTTAATTTTAGCCATTCTGACTGGTGTGGGGTGGTATCTCATTGAGGTTTTGATTTGGATTTCCCTGATGCCGAGCGATATTGAGCACTTTTTCATGTGTCTGTTGGCCATTTGGATATCTTCTTTGGAAAAATGTCTGTTCATGTCTTCTGCCCATTTCTTGATTGGATTCCTTGTTCTTTGGGTGTTGAGTTTGATGAGTTCTTTATAGATTTTGGATACTAGCCCTTTATCTGATATGTCATTTGCAAATATCTTCTCCCATTCTGTCGGTTGTCTTTTGGTTTTGTGGACTGTTTCCTTTGCTTTGCAAAAGATTTTTATCTTGATGAAGTGCCAATAGTTCATTTTTGCCCTTGCTTCCCTTGCCTTTGGCGATGTTTCTAGGAAGAAGTTGCTGCGGCTGAGGTCAAAGAGATTGCTGCCTGTGTTCTCCTTTAGGATTTTGATGGACTCCTGTCTCACATTGAGGTCTTTCAACCATTTGGAGTCTATTTTTGTGTGTGGTGTAAGGAAAAGGTCCAGTTTCATTCTTCTGCATGTGGCTATCCAATTTTCCCAACACCATTTGTTGAAGAGACTGTCTTTGTTCCATTGGACATTCTTTCCTGCTTTGTCAAAGATGAGTTGACCATAGAGTTGTGGGTCCATTTCTGGGCTCTCTATTCTGTTCCATTGATCTATGTGTCTGTTTTTGTGCCAGTACCATGCTGTCTTGATGATGACAGCTTTGTAATAGAGCTGGAAGTCCGGAATTGTGATACCGCTGGCTTTGCTTTTCTTTTTCAACATTCCTCTGACTATGCGGGGTCTTTTCTGATTCCATACAAATTTTAGGATGATTTGTTCCATTTCTTTGAAAAAAGTGGATGGTATTTTGATGGGGATTGCATTGAATGTGTAGATTGCTCTAGGTAGCATTGACATCTTCACAATATTTGTTCTTCCAATCCATGAGCATGGAACGTTTTTCCATTTCTTTGTGTCTTTCTCAATTTCTTTCATGAGTATTTTATAGTTTTCTGAGTACAGATCCTTTGTGTCTTTGGTTAGATTTATTCCTAGGTATCTTATGGTTTTGGGTGCAATTGTAAATGGGATCGACTCCTTAATTTCTCTTTCTTCTGTCTTGTTGTTGGTGTATAGAAATGCCACTGACTTCTGTGCATTGATTTTCTATCCTGCCACTTAACTGAATTCCTGTATGAGTTCTAGCAGTTTTGGGGTGGAGTCTTGGGGTTTTCCACATAAAGTATCATATCATCTGCAAAGAGTGAGGGTTTGACTTCTTCTTTGCCGATTTGGATGCCTTTGATTTCTTTTTGTTGTCTGATTGCTGTGGCTAGGACTTCCAATATTATGTTGAATAGCAGTGGTGATAGCGGACATCCCTGCCGCGTTCCTGACCTTAGGGGGAAAGCTCTCAGTTTTTCCCCATTGACAGTGATATTTGCTGTAGGTTTTTCATAGATGGCTTTTATGATATTGAGGTATGTACCCTCTATGCCTATACTCGAAATAGTTTTGATCAAGAAAGGATGCTGTACTTTGTCAAAAGCTTTTTCTCCATCTATTGAGAGGATCATATGATTCTTGTTCTTTCTTTTGTTAATGTATTATATCACATTGATTGATTTGCGGATGTTGAACCAACCTTGCAGCCCAGGGATAAATCCCATTTGGTCGTGGTGAATAATCCTTTTAATTTACTGTTGGATCCTATTGGATAGTATTTTGGTGAGAGTTTTTGCATCCATGTTCATCAGGGATATGGTCTGTAATTCTCCTTTTTGATGGGGTCTTTGTCTGGTTTAGGGATCAAGGTAATGCTGGCCTCATAAAATGAGTTTGGAAGTTTTCCTTCCGTTTCTATTTTTTGGAACAGTTTCAGAAGAATGGGTATTAATTCTTCTTGAAATGTTTGGTAGAATTCCCCTGGGAAGCCATCTGGCCCTGGGCTTTTGTTTTTTGGGAGATTTTTGATGACGGCTTCAACTTCCTTAGTGGTTATAGGTCTGTTCAGGTTTTCTATTTCTTCCTGGTTCAGTTTTGGTAGTTGATACATCTCTAAGAATGCATCCATCTCTTCCAGGTTATCTAATTTGCTGGCATAGAGTTGCTCATAATATGTTCTTATAATTGTTTGTATTTCTTTGGTGTTGGTTGTGATCTGTCCTCTTTCATTCATGATTTTGTAGATTTGGGTCATTTCTCTTCTCTTTTTGATAAGTCTGGCCAGGGGTTTATCAATCTTGTTAATTCTTTCGAAGAACCAGCTCCTCGTTTCGTTCATCTGTTCTACTGTTCTTTTAGTTTCTATTTCATTGATTTCTGCTCTGATCTTTATGATTTCTCTTCTCCTGCTGGGTTTAGGCTTTATTTGCTGTTCTTTCTCCAGCTCCTTTAGGTGTAGGGTTAGGTTGTGTACTTGAGACCTTTCTTGTTTCTTGAGAAAGGCTTGTATTGCTATATACTTTCCTCTTAGGACTGCCTTTGCTGCATCCCAAGATTTTGAATAGTTGTGTTTTCATTTTCATTGGTTTCTTCCATGTATTTTTTTAATTCTTCTTTATTTT